GGGCCACAATAGTGCCAAGCATAGGTAAACATTGCAATATGAAAAACAAACACTTTTATTGTCCAAACACATTGGTCATTATTTGTCATCTATCAAGCTAAAACTTGCCAGAACCACCAAAAACTCACTAACATGTGTAAAAAATTTTACTGTATCTACATCTAGTGTAAGATTTCAAAATCTTCATAACAGAGAAAGTGCCATAAGGCACTGTGGTAAGCATTGTGGTATTTTTCCTCCCATATCCAGTCAAGAATCTGTTTGAATTGGTCAGCTTTCTTTTCAAACTCATATTCACAAAATAACTTACAAATAACTGCAGATTAATTGATTACCGAATTTTTACCAACTTTGAGATACAGGAGGGTAATTACTAAATTTTATGACATATAAGCAGCATTTTTTGTAATTCTGTTTAGGCTGGTTGGAAAAAAACACTCGGCAGGCATTATATTGGTCGGTCATTAATTACTTTAATATTAAGTTATCAGGCATAGCCAACCTAAGCTAATAGATTCCTCATCCATTTTTTAGTTTTCTATGAAGCCTACTTTGTTAGCATATATTCCCGAACGAAAATAAAGAAACCAGTTCACAATTAATACTTGGCCAAGCACATCATTCAACTCCGCTAGTTGCCTCAGCTAGCCATAACACTAGTCAAATCAGTGGCATTAATAATGCAACAATATGTCAAAAGATTTTTCTGGGTATTTTATGACGAAACAACACCGAATGCGTTTCTTTTACACTCGCGCAAATGCGACGCGCGCCACAAAAAATGAAGCGGCAGGCCACATGTGGCCCGCGGGCTTGGGTTTGGACCACCCTGCATTAGCTAAAAGAGACAAATACATTTCCTATTATTATTCAACAAATTAGATTTGTGATTTCATTTAATTTACTTGGTGCTCCTGAAGTATGAGCACCAAGATGTCACACAACCTGAGCCCTAACCTGGTACCAGGTTGTGCGCCATCTTGGTGCACATACTTCAGGAGGTCCATTTACTTTATCCATTTGTAGCGCGATGCAAAGAATCAGTCTGAAAGGGTTTGTGTGCGATTGGAACATTTCATAAATTTGAGTGAAAATCCTTCAGTAATCATATAAGATACGATACTTTAATAAAATTTAATAAATACATTATTAAACACACAATTTTATACAATACCAAAAGAATCATATGATCACTCTTAATAAGGGTACAAACAAGCAGCCTCTGATGCATAACAAGCTTGTAGTTTTGGAATGAATGTGCAGACGCTTTAAAATTCCATAATATTACACATTGCGTGGGTGATCAGCATGAAAATTATTCATCAGAGTATTAGGTCTAGTAAATATCCAGTAGACATAGACCAGGATCAGGAAAATTGAGGTTCACGGGCCGGATACGGCCCACCTAAGTGTTTTACCTGACCTGCTTGTGCCTGTAGAAACTATATTGTATTTGTGTTGAAAATATCAAAGAAAATAATGATTCAATAGCTAAAATATAGACTGTAAATCCCCACATATTATCTGCACCTGAATATAATGCGTCACTTGGTATATATGATTGTGCTAATTGGTACACTAGCAGTTTGTTGTACATTGGCTGTTACGCTAGTTATTTGTAAAGGACCTGTTTTTATTCATAGTTTTATATTGGGTTTTGGGCCTCCTCCTTTTGAGTCTACAATCTGTAACTGGCGCACTCAGGAAAGTAACTGCCCACCCCTGACATAGATCAAGCAAGTAACATATAGCTTTCAGATTGATCAAATATTAGTTGTACAAAATGATAGTGAAAAGTTTGGAAGCTTATATAACAAAAGAAAAACAGTTATATGAGTTAAATATTCAGCTTCAAATTATTACTATTATTAATAAAATTCATATAAAAAGATCATTCGTATTCAATATCTGAAACAAGCCCAAAAAAGATATCCAAAGAAGGTGTTCATAAAAATGAAGAATCAAGTCAATTCCACCACTTATTTATCAGTACACATGAGAAGATGATAATCTCAATTCAAAGCATTCCTTTCTTTGCCAACTTATAAAATTAGGTCACATCTCATCTTTTACTTCTGTCTTATTATTAATGTAATTACATGCAATATTACAAACACATAAATGTTTGAAAACGCAGATGGATATGTTTTATGATTTTAAAACATTCTAACAAGAATACAGCATAGTATTCAGATAATCAGGTTCGTCATATTCCACGAAAAACAATCATTTTAATCAAACAACTTCTTATTCATTGTAATAGGATTACTGTTCAAACCAATTGACTACCACAATCTAACATTCTTTTATTAACAGGATTAGGAAAAGTCAAGAGCTTAATAATAAAGAGGAAAAGTCTAGACCTGCCGTCTTTCTAACTTGATTATGAATGATGATCAAACAATGGTGTTGGTCTTACACCTAATAAATGAAACAAGATGACAGGAGACAATAAACAATACATCAGTTTGAATGAGAGATAAATTGTTCAAAAGTGGTTAAACAGGATTTATTCTACTTCGTGTGTATTCAGAGTTATAAGGAGAGAAGTCAATATATGAATAGCTGTGTGTTCTAGAATCTTCTTCAAAACTATATTAGATTTCAATATCAATTTAACAAAATTTATTTATTTTAAATTAGAAAAATGATTTCATTACAAAAAAAATTAATAAAAAATTTTTTTTTTTTTTCGTTTCAAGTTACACGAATTTTGAATTTCAGTTAAATATTTCCTTGAATATCCCTGTGATAATATGCTGCTAAATCATCCACAATTATAAGTTATCATTAGCAGTTGGAGCTTTCCAAACCTATAAGCTTAGTATGAGCAGAATAAAAGCAGTCATTCATTTTTTCCTGGTTTACATAATCCTATACAACCTCATAACCACAAGTATAAGGCGCCAAACAACCTGAAAATATTTATGTTAATCCTCGAAAAGACAGTCATTTTTGTGATACAAATTCTAAATGAGAATACACTCTTCAGCATAAAAATGACGATGAAATTTATGCCAAAAATTTTCTATTATATCTATAAAACTAAGTCAAAAAACTTCAGTCTTCAAACATTCAAATTAATCCTTTTTCACAATTTCACAAAGTCTGTTTGATACACCTGACAAAAATATGATCCCAATATACAAATTGATATTATATGAAAAAATAAAACTTGATGAACCTGAATAGAACTCAACCTTCTTTATAACTGAATCCTGTACCATGGCATTGATACAATCTAACTACTGTGAAAGACTTAATCTCAAACCTGTCTCAACTCTCAACCACAAATACTGAATCATTTCCAATAAAAGTTATCATCCAAGCCTCCGGCATGTTAATAAAATATGACACTGTAAAAATTTATAAAACATGAACCTGAACTTTAGAATGACACTTGCCAAACATTTTCTTTGTTTTAATATAACCACAGGCAATTAATACTATAAGTCAATCAATTCAATATAACAGCATACTCTATGTGTAGGTTTTTTCAGACTGAATTCCTTTTACATTTGAGATTTAGAAAATTGACTCCAAAGAATCCTAAAACAATATATATGCACAGGACAGGATGAAAGATGGGAGTGGGAACAAATCCATGACTTGTGTCATATTTGAGGTGATTTGCAACTTGAAGTGTAGTTTTGCATCAAAGCAGTTTAACTTATGAAAAAGATAAACTAGTCTACCAATACATACGGTATATATACAACGTGGTCGCTAGAAAAGCAGAAAATTTGAAGGTCAGATGAGATCACGAATAAAATGCTCGCTTACTCATTTCTTCTTTAATTAGTTTTAATTTCTTTTAGGTCTAGGTTGTTTAAGTTTGATGAATGTTTCAGCGAGCATCATTTTCTTGTTTATTTCCGTAACAGTTACAAATCAGTAATAAGTTAACAATGGCGTTACAATTAGAATTTATGCTGCGGCTCAGACAGATATTCAAGCGGGTTGTAAACATTGCCTTTTTTCTGGTAATTTTGCGTGTTATTGTCAGTTTTAGATTGTGTTTGGATAAAAATGATAGTTTTGAACATGTGAGCCACTTTGTAAGCGCCAACTCTCCAAAAATACTCACAAAATCAGCATTGAAAATTTTGCAATGATAAAGTATAGTCTCGAATCTTTCAGGGGTGAAGAAAAATCCATACCTATGAGGTTCTATTTGATTTCTATTTTGAAACCAACATCATGAAAGAAGGCGTGAAACAACTTCCAGACTTGGAAAAGAAAGTGATTATTCTTTTCAAAAGTTAAAATCCGATTTGGGGACTGACAAGAAGTCTAGCTGTGTTACCAAATTTTTTTTTCTGGTTTCCCAGCGACCCCCCTGTATATATACTCCAGAGCAGATTGAAAATAAAATGAGATCTGGTAATTGATTTGTTTGCAAATGTAACTAATATTATCTATTGTTGATAATTTCTCAGAAACAAAAAATTATTAGGAAATCACAAAAAAGTTTTTTACAAATTTAGGAGTTGGACATAATTATATACTGCAACTTTATAAACCGTGAATACAATCATTCAATAAATCCTGATGGGAAAATTGTTTCAACAATGATTCAAAATAGTGGCAATTCAACAAAATTGTGACATCCCATACAGAAATGCTATCTATGAACATAGCTATAGTAGTAACACTGAAACATGACAGAAATTGTTGAAATTATGTCAAGTGGATACTACAATTCTAAAAACGCCAAAACTTCTAGCAAATCAGCTCAGTGGACAAAAAATGTTTATCCCCGATTTCATTAAAAAAACGATAAATTTTTAGACAATTATGTTGAAATTTGATATTTTAGTTATCGCAATTCACAACTACTGTAAAATATGAAATTTGATGCCTCATTTCATTACAAGTGGCAAAACATTACCTATGTAGTCACGACTACAACCAATGGTTGTAGTGAATAACAAGTTATAAACAGTCTGTATGCTTAATTGCTTATGTTAAAAATTTAAACTCCATAAATAATTGCTTACCTGGTATAACAGCCTCTAATTTTCTACCCTCATCAGTTATCCTTGCTTCAGTAACTTGTCTTTGCTTAGATCCATCAAACACAAGAAAGAGTCTGGCAAATTCAGGTATCTCTATATCAGCATATATTTCAACTTCAACCAGTCCGCCACCCTATAGAAGTTAAATAATTCTAGTAACAACCTATACACGATAGTTCATCGAAAATAAACCATAGAATGGATACAACATACAACAATAATATTATTCCGTATATATATATGGGGTGTCCATAAAGTCTTAAATTATATTTAAATTGCAAAGGGAATTTATCAATACCATATATTGTATTGGCCCGCACAGATGTATTAAATGAAGTAAAAATACTGATTAAAAAACAACACCTGGTTGAGATATATTGAGAACTGACTTCATAAGAAAATTGAAATTGTAAAGGGACTTTATGGTCACCCAACTTCACCAGAATTAATAATACATTGAAGGTAATGCATGCCGCACTACACTACCAATGGAAGAGAATTAAAGCAATACCATAAAGCTTAATAAATAATTTAGTTAGTTGCTTATTAATTTATTTAAAAAAAAGATTTATGTCAGCATTCGGTTCAGTTGTATAAATGTATTACAGGACATTCAATTCAGTCAATATCCAGTCAAGACTCAAGAGTTAAGTCAATTCAGTCAAAATATGATTACCTTCATTAAAATCATTCATTCATATTCTGAATAGTAGTATTTACGATAACTATGGAATGTAGATGACAACATTCAATTTCTAACATATATTCTGAATCTTACGTTAAAAATCATATATCATATCATTCTTTTTACACTTACAAACTAGAGCTACATAAATTACCATAAAATACTTACATATACTGGAGCAGATGTAGGCGATGTATCCATTCTAAATCTAACAATATCTAAAAAACACAAAAATCTGAAATTTATTCTACTGTTACTGTAAGTCTGTTTGGTTTCAGAGCTCAATATTCATTCTTCATAACATGAAACAAGAAATAACATCAGGCCTTCACCAAAGAACATAAAACTTACTGCATCATACAAACAGTCAAATTTTAAACTCAATCAACTTTAATTACCCTGAGCTGCCATCAATTATAAAATACAAGAAGAGAGATTCCAAGCACAGTCATAAATTCACTTTGAAGTGCAATTAAACTACCCAACAGTCCTGAGGGAGTCATAAAATCTCTTTTCCCTGAGGGACAATAATGCAAGTAATTACACCTTGTAAGATGAATACAACCAATGTATTAATTAACATATTTTCTAAGCAAATTTGTTTCAAAATAGATTCTACTGAAAATGTGTGAAATAAAATTGAGTATTTCTAACAACTTTGGTATGTGCTAATGTGAAATGGTCACACCAGACGGTTCACATCTGTTCACGGCACATATTTAAAAAAAAGGGTAGACCACACTTTATATTGAAATGCTTCAAACTTCAGTCAATTCAAATTTTCTACTGAATCAATGAATAATGACCAACCTAACCCAGCACCTCTATGAGTTGGTACTAATCCCATTGAGAAGTAATAAATACATTATGACACGAAAAAGCATTGATATGTAACAATGAAAATATCAAAACAATACTTTAGCAATCTTTATTATTCCTATTCCAGATATATTTAAAGGCCTTAAACCAGAACACAAACAAAGACCATTCATAATTATTCAAGCATATCGAGTGTGGGAGAAAACACAAAGACAAGTAGAGTCACTATAATTAAATTGTTCATCAATACAAGTACTTGTGAAAATTTCACGAGTCTAGTTAATACGAATAAAAAAAAAAAATTGGTGAGACCCAATGATATCTAAATTGAGATGAATATCCAAATTATTTTCATTTATTTTGGCAATTCATCGATAGGCTATGCTAAAAGGCTTCAAAAGGGGTGCCATTTTTCATTCCAAATGTGTAATAATAAGATATTTTTAGACATAAACTACCGTTTTACCCAATTTAGATTATCCTATATTAAAATGAATAAATTTAATAATTCAAGAAGTTAAACAGTGTTTTTTTCTCCGTCATTAACAGTAAGTAGAAATTATCTGATTGCTGAATGTTTATAAACAACATGAGCCAAATTTTCAAATTGAAATGTTCTAAATTGTTCTTAAAAATAATCATACACAGTGAAATTTGAGTGTATTTAAATATTCAATTAATTTCAGACATTTTTTTCATTTCTACATACTTCACATAATTAATTTCATTTTTTCAAACCTCATATTTTTAAACATATACTATTTACTAGCAATTCTCTCAATGAGAAAGAAAAAAACATAATCCTGTAAGATTGGGAACCAATAGAATAATTCAAATTACTTTACGTTAAAATACTGTAATCTTGAGTGTAATCTACTTTTTTCAAGGAATAGTGGTTACAAAGTCTCAAGTACTCATCTATAGACAAGAGATCAATACTAAAATATATGGACATGAAAGTAAAACGACAAGGCAAACAGAATTCCAGTCAAATGTTGAAAAATTGTAATGAAAATCATGGTATATATGGAGTGTCATATAAGGCAGTTTAGTATTAGGTCCCCTAGCGGCCTTATAGCAAAAGATTGAAAATTTAAAATTGATTAATCCATTATTTATCCCAAAGAATAAAACAAGAAAAAACAATACTTTCGCAAAATATTCTATGGGCACACCTTGTCTCCAACAAGACATGAATAAACACTTTAACAAAAGATATAGAATTATTGTCAAGAAAACAATGCCAGTAAATATTTAATGGCATACCTAACATCTAAAAGAAAAATCGACAAAATTGAACTTCAGAATGTCTGTGTCTTGGATGTCAGTTCGTATAGTTTAAAAAACCGTAATTTTCAAATGGCGCAACGAAAAACCAAAGTTGATCGAGCAGCGACACCTGTGATGAGAGTCTAACTTTGATACAGGTTTAATACAAATAAGACGAACAATATATAAATTAATATATCAAATATTAAAGTCCAAAAACCAAATTTGTTACAGAAAAGAGACTCCGGGCACCGTCAAGTATGGGAGGGGTAACTATGGTCAACGAACAGCATAGCAACGACCAAAGTGAATATCAACTTGACAGAGCGACAGGTGGCTGGGTACAGTCAAAGCGTATATATAATATAAGCGAGGCAACACTCAGACAATGGACGCCATCTTGTGCCTATTGTTCTCGGCAATTTAACACGGCGCCTTATGAGAAGTTCGCACACAATTAATGAAACATACCTATTATTTTCACTAATATTTTAGGTAGAAAAATTTTGAAGGTCCCGTTTTGAAGTAGAATCTTAGCCACACATGCCTATATCCGTTCATTTTTGCCAAATTACATTTATAGTACGGTACATTAAATTGTCTTTGAAGACAAGTATACCGGTTCCGAGTTGCTTCCGAAGTAAATTGGCCATTCTAATCGTCATAATCAACCATTTGACATGACGTCACAGATGAAAAGTTGTATTTATTCGTCGAAATTACCGGCCGTCCCAACTTCCTTTCAATGACTGTTTCTATTTTCTGGATAACATTTTTCATCTGTCAAGCTCCGTAATGCCCTACTGCTCAGCTCCAAGCTGCGCTAGAAGAACAAATGACATTGTAGGATTGTTGCAGAGACATTTTTACAGCCTCAAATTGGCGTATCACTATAAAATCTTTAAAAAAATGACAAAAAATGGTTCTACGCTGTGTTTGTGGTGGAATTTAACGCATTAGATAGTTTTTTATTCTTAATTGCGTCATATATTTAGATAGCATATATCTTAAAGTTCAAAATCCACCCTTCGGTTTCATTCTAGCCCTTATAACAGCGGACTTATTCGATTCGGTACAACAACACGACAAAAATTTCCCATAAGACTCCATTGTTTCGCATTTTCCAAATATGGCACAAGAAGGCGTCCATGAACTTGTTTAACATTAGGCAAGTTGGTTGCCGGCCGTTGGGTACAGTCAGACTAGAAAAGCCATTTGGGAACAGCGTTTAGGTACCAGTTTTTAAGAGTGCACGTTCTGGTGGTAACCTAACAAGACAGGTATTGCGTAATACATTTAGAGCTATGAGTAACATCTGAATTGTTAACAGTTTCTTAATATGGAACCAGTTACTAATCATTATTTATATCTTGGTGGTTTAACAGAAATACAGATTGATACAGTAATATAGAAAATGTGATTAATACATCAAGCCATACGTACCGATACCGTATACTGGTATATCAAGGCAGCAAGGGCTTATTATTACTTGAGAAATTTTTACTTTTTATTAGTACAATATTTCATGCACGACAGAAATAAATATCTGAATCTGAACCTATGCTACCAGTCGAGACATTAAACCGTTCAACTGAAGGCAATTGAGTAAAGTTATGACCTTACTCCATCACTGGTACCAGTACCACAACAATTTTCATTCAATTTTCTAACTTTCAGACCTTAGTACTGTAGTAAGCTACAAAGCACTAAAATGCATAAGCAAATATCGCCCAATCGACGCGCCACACCGCCAACCAATTACAGAATTAGACCAGACCCATCCATACAAGCATACAGACAAAGAAATACTGACATCAGGTCTTACAGATATACCGGTAGTGTTCTGTTATCAGAGTTTGCAGTGGAGCAGTATTGGAAGTTAGCTTCCAATTCGGAAGTTAGCAGTAGTACCGTATTAAATTATTCTGCAGCGTACGGTACCGGCGCGACAGGCGACAGCCATGTCTTTTGTTCATTGAGTCTAAAAACTGAAATACCAGTATATGGCTTTACTGCATTGGCTGCAGTTATAGCAAACGTGATAACCTAAATACATATGAATTGAATGACAAATTTACCCAGAAGCCGCGGAACTCCTGTTTGCAAATTTTAGTCCTTTTCGGCACCAAGCCATCAAGTGGTGCTCGTTTCGGTAGGCTACGATGTATTTGGTTCGTTAGTGCCCTCGCACGACTACGAAATGCGTTGAGGCCATTGAGGCGTGTTTTCCCGAAAATCAATTTTATTCCGAAAAATAACACTAGGGCTTAGTTTCGGGGGACGTCTTATATTTAAAAAAAAAACTAAAAAGTAGAGAATTACGAGATTTTCACATATACAAAATAGAAAAACCTATATTCATTACACCTTTTTTATTCAAAAAACAACAACAACTGCAAAACATAGATGCAAACAGGGTGGTCCAAGGTTGTCGGCTCCGCGGGCCACAAAATTATTTTTGCATTGTTCGCGGGCCACAATAGTGTCAGAAATAGATAAACAGAGCAACAAACACTTTATTGTGCAAACAATTGATCATGATTTGTCATTTATTAAGCTAAAACATGCAAAATATCTGTGTTTAATATAAGATTTTAAACAATTCACCACGGAGAAAGTGCTCCCGCAAATATAAGTACGTTCGGACATCGGTGGGGTTCTCAAAGAGAAACCCCTCAAACTTTAAAAATGCTCATTGCTCACATGATAGCAAAATGCCGTTTTTGATTATATTTGCCATAACTGCAGATTAACTGATTATCACATTTTACCAAATGTATGGTACAGGAGAGAAATTACTAATTCTTCTGACATATTAGAAGCATTTCTGTAATACTTTAGGCTGGTTGCAAAAAATCACCGGAAGGCGGAAGGAATTATAATCCCAGGCCATCCCATTGATATTTATTTATTTATTATAACTGTTGAAATATATTCCCAATCAAAAAGATACAAAGTCAGTGAACAATTTGGAATACCCAAGCACAATATTCAACTTCGCTAGTTGCTTCAGCCAATGAGCATATATACAATGAGTGGAAACTTGCAAAGATTTGCTCATTTTGGTATTGTTCCCTGCATTTTTTACGTCGTCCGGCTAAATGGTTCGTTGCATATTAAGAAAACGCATTGCTCACTGCCAAAATCCCTTGCTTCAGCCGAGTCGGGTGCGAAATTGGCGGTATTGAGGTCTTTAATTCTTCAATACATATTTGGTTTTGGGTTCCGAAGTATGGTACGCTGAAAGCATACAACTATGAGCATATGCTTATTGGGAATGCATATCTATTAGACAGAAAACGTAGCTACAGTACAGAATATGAACCAGTCGCCCAGTGGGGTGCGGTTATTTATGTATTTATTAGGATAATGAGGATAAGGATAAGGATTTACATATTCATCCCGGGGGAAAGGAAAGCCGATAAGACGACTTATCCATATGGCGAACCACGGCCTCTCGTCCGGTTACCATTCCAAGTCGGGCATGGGATTAGTTATATTGTTTGTTTTCGGAAGCATGGACTTGTTGGTGGAGGAAGCCGTAACCGACCAGCGGTTACGTGAATCACCCAACGGCGGCGAGGAGTCCAGCAATCCTCTTGCACATAACCATCCCTGCATGGGATTCGAACCTGCGGACCCATGCAGAGTAATTAGAGGTGCGGTGGCGAGCGTATTCCTAACGCTTAGCCCGTTGAGCCACACCGCCGCGCATGGGATTTACATATTTATCCAAGGGTAGAGGAAAGCCGAGAAGAATGCCTAAATATATGGCAAACCACGGCCTCTCTCAATCATAGCTCTGTCCTCCATATGAATCACATGGCTCTGCGAGCTATTCGTTTACTTATTAAAAATACTGATTTTAACTATTTCTCTGGGATATCTTGCCATTGAAAACAAAAGCCAGAAATTGGAAGAATAGCAGAGAATGAAATGTGTGTATTATGTAATGAAGAACCTGAGTTTGTTTCACATATTTTCATGTATTGTAAATTTACAAAAAATATTTATGAGGATTTTGTTTTAGATATATTAAAATTGATTAGAATACATTTTGTTATCAATATGATTCTTGCATATTATTTAATTTCAACGATCCTTTATATAGTCATATAGATACTGTTGATTTGGATGCAATTATACTTTTGTAATCAATAGTGAGATATAAAATTTTGACCATGAGAAATTCTATTATATTCGAAAATAAAACACCCCATTTTGCCTTTCTCAAAAAGCAGATAAAAATGGCCATAATATGTAGAAAAATATAGAGAATTATAGAATAAACAACCCATTTGAGAGGGAATTGAAAAATTTATGTAAAGCGTTATTTCAAAAAGAAAATTATATGTTTATGATATGTATTTTATATTTACTAATTTCATTTTTATTGTTTTATATCAATGCATTTATTAAAATAACCTAATTATGGTATGGATTACTACTGGAATTGAACAAAATAAATACTGAATCATGGATGCAACATGGAATATGAACTTATTTATATTAACCGTAATTAAAATCACTCATTGAGTGAACGAATGAGCATACTGTCATGCTTATTGGGAATACATACCATTTATTAGGCAGAAAACTTAACTACAGAACAGAATATGAACCAGCCAAGTGGTGACCTGGGATATTGTATTCATTGATATAGATAGTTTATTTTGAAAAGTCCACAATCTGACAATACAAACAAATAAAAAATGGAGAGTTCTGGAGAGCGAGCAAAACCTTTAAAAAAGTTTAAAACACGATGAGTATCATGTGCCCGCCGTGTTATAGCAAGTAGTAATGTGTAATGAATTTAATTCACTGTGGTAAATGAATTGCTATCTTTTTATTTGTTATGAGCACACTTGCTGGAACTCCATAATCTATTATTTTATTTGTTAGTAACACTTTTTATAAAAATATCAAATTGTTTATCATACTTGCATCCATATTTCGCCCTAAATTCTATGACACTTTCTCTGTATCCAAATATCTATGTACATGACCACATTATTTATTTTTTAGTAATACTTCGTTTAAAAGTATCCTAATGTTTATTATACTTGCTATTCTGGTATTTGATCAATTTTTTGCCTTGAATTTTATTCTATGATACTTGCTCTGTATCCAAATATCTATATGTATATGAGCACTTTATTTATTTTTTAGTACCGGTAATACTTATTTAAAAATAACCTATTGTTTATCATTGCTATTTCGGTATATTATCAATATTTCGCCTTAAAATTCATTCTATGATACGTGCTCTGTAGCCGAATATAGATATGTACATGAGCACTTTATTTCATATATATATATATATCTGCTGGAGAAGGGTCAAATCCTGATCATGTATTAATGTGTGTCACTATCCTCCAAATCACTTGCCAGTCATAATCAAGTATTATAATTTGATGTGTTCAAATTATAGTGTATAAAGAAATATACTCATGATTTCATTACTATTATCAAATGTTTATAATTAAAGTGCTATAATAATAGAATTTTCCTCATCTTTGCTCATAAAAAACCCATGTCCTATCACATTAATTTTTAGTAGACAAATTTTCCAAATAATAGGTATCCTTGCTAACCCATTTTTATGCAGTTGATATGCAATACATGTCAACTTATCAGCTGAATAAATGATGATCTTAGGACAAAACATGATTATTTAGTACTTTCCAAATCAAAAATTCTTGTGAATAATGTATATAGTGAATACGGTATATGAGAGCTATTGAAGAATTTAACACCGAACCTGTTAAATGACCCCAAATGTTGTAACGTTGTCTCCCAGTCAAACACCTGAGCATCTCTTTTTTTTAATATAATTTATATATGTTCATGGTTTGACGAACGAAATAAACTCTCTCTCTCTATTAGTTTAAAATACTGACTTCTGGACTTGGCTAATTTTATACATATCAAAACTTGTAAATATTTGCATATCAAAACTTGTCATTTATTTCGTTCCATCCATGTATTTTCAACTGTTTTTCCAATAAAACGTACTTATGCCTTACTGTTATTTGTAGCTTATTATTGTTAGCTAACTATTTTGAGGTGGGGGTGCGGCTTGAAAAGTTTGGGAATGCTTGTATGTAGTAGACCCTAACCTGGTACACATGGTTCCGGTGTCTACCAACTGGGTTTACATACTTCAATTTGTATTACAGTTGTAAAACAGAAAAAAGCTGAATGTCGGTCTTATTCCATCTGTAAATTTACCATATGGATGAAATGAAAAGTGACATATGAAAAATACAGAAGCTGTAGAAAATATTTTGCATTCCAAAAAAATTAGTTCACATATTAAATATTTTACATTACAAAAAAAATGGTGCTCCAGAAGTATGTGTACCAATATGAAGGTAACTAATTTTGTTCGCCTATTTTATATCAAGTTGTGTAAATGGACTAAATTCTATCGGTAGGGGATATTCACTTGTGTAACACAGACAATTCCCGAACTTTTAATAGAACAAAAATAAGGAGAATCGTAACCTAACCTGGTACACATACTACAAGAGTACCGAAAAAACAGCCCACATAGTAAAAGCAGTTATGGAAATACTTTACATTGGAGAAAAATTAATTCACATAGTAAATAGCAGACGCAAGATGTATTTTGCATTGCAGAAAAAATAGCTCACATAGTTAATAGCAGTCCTGAAATATTTCTCACTATTGATAACAAAAGTATAATTGCATCCAAATCAACAGTATCTATATGACTATATAAAGGATCGTTAAAATTAAATGATATGCAAGAATCATATTGATAACAAAATGTATTCTAATCAATTTTAATATATCTAAAACAAATTCTTCATAAATATTTTTTGTAATTTACAATACATGAAAATATGTGAAACAAACTCAGGTTCTCCATTACATAATACACACGTTTCATTCCCTGATTTTCTTCCAATTTCTGGCTTTTGTTTTCAAAGGCAAGATATCCCAGAGTAATTTATAGTTAAAATCAGTATTTTTAATAGGTAAACGAATAGCTCGCAGAGCCATGTGATTCATATGGAGGACAGAGCTATGATTGTGAGAGGCCGTGGTTCGCCATATATTTAGGTATTCTTCTCGGCTTTCCTCTCCCATGGATAAATATGTAAATCCCATGTTATATCAATGACTAAATACATAAATAACCGCACCCCTCTCGGCGACTGGTTCATATTCTGTTCTGTAGATACGTTTTCTGCCTAATAGATATGCATTCCCAATAAGCATATGCTCATAGTTGTATGCTTTCAGCGTACCATACTTCGAAACCCAAAACCAAATATGTATTGAAGAATTACAGACCTCAATACGGCCAATTTCGCACCCGACTCGGCTGAAGCAAGGGATTTTGGCAGCGAGCAATGCGTTTTCTTAATATGCAACGAACCATTTAGCTGGACGACGTAAAAATGCAGGGAACAATACCAAAATGAGCAAATCTTTGCAAGTTTCCACTCATTGTATATATGCTCATTGCTTCAGCTGACCGTGACACGAGTCAATTTAGTGACATTAGTGATGTAACAAGATGTCGAAAAGATTTTCTTATCATTTTTGTGACGAAACAACACCAAATGCGATTTTTGATTACCCGTCAGCAAATGCGACGCGGGCCACAGATTATTACGCTGCGGGTCACAAGACACATGCCACAAAAATCTGAGAAAACAGGTCACAACTGATGGTGGGGCAATAACATGATAAAGTTTGTATCATGGCTGGGCAAGGTTTTTAAATCAGGAAGTAGACTTGCACGTAATTTACGGATGTACGGAATTACGGAATTATTTCGAGTTACGGAAGCGAAGTTACGAATTACGTAAAGTCATAATTATTGGTCGAGCGCTTTCGCGATTGAAACGAGCTCTCTTCAGAGCAGTCAATTCCGTCGATTGTAAAAAATTAAAGTTTAAGTAAAAGAAGTTAGAGTTCCGGTATCCGCAGCCGTCTTTCTCTCTCTTGTTAGGCAGATGGGGAAGGCATAACGCGTCATTTACTAACCTATTATCAACGTATCTAGGATGGCCAATGTACATATTAACCGTAGATAAGGAATAGACTTGTGTTGAGACCGATGGACGTCAACACACCTGGTTTCAACTTCTTCGGGTGAAATGACTAAAGAATGTAAGAGATCAACTTATAAAACATGGTGTATTTGTAAATGCCGTGATAATTAATGAAGCGCTTATCAAACATCAATATAAAGACGGAAGAGAAATTGCGTAATGAACCAACGCAACTTAGTCTTTTCGGCATCGGTAAAGAGATTGAGACGGCAGAGAAACAACAATACGACGGGATTTTCCGTGTTTATTCTGCGCGAGATCCATTTTCTGTTACAAAATCTTGATGTTCTGTTATCGATTTGGCATTGCTCAATATGTTTTTCACAATGCCTCGCAATATGTCGGCCAAAAATGACTACCTGTCTTTACCAAATGCGGCAACTTATTGCCGATTTATTGTCGACTCGAATACCACCGACACTCGACCAAACTTGTGTCAATCTTGGCAAATAGGATTGTCGACTTGAGTTAAAAAAATAAATTAATATTTTCAATAATGTGCAAAATAAATGTCACAAAATGCATTGTTTTGCGATATAACTTTGTATTTTCGGAGAAGGCATGTCATATAAGTACGGTATTTTAAATAATGCGCAAATAATTAATATTTGATCTAAATTTATCGCAAATAATGTTATAACTTTTAGGCCGCGAAATGATTTAATGTAAAATGAAGCATAGAATTCGGAATATCGTCAATAAGTTGACATCAATAATTATTCTAAAATGCTAACTAAGTAGTAAAGTCGGATATTGTAAAAAACGGTGAAATAACAAGTCTTCGTCGCGAGGCAAGCGAATGTATAATCAAACGAGAGAATACGCTTGTAGTTGATTAATAAATTAGCAACCCTGAATTTTTATTTAATACGAAAGTCGTATTAATACGTTAATACGATTTTAAAAAAGTGAACTATCGTTTCTTAAATATATTACCAGTGTTGGTAATGATAAAATGGATCGCATAAAATTTGGTGATAAAGTGGATAAAAAAAATCAAAGCTAATACAAAAGATAAAAATCAGAATAAAATTATTTTGAATTCACTCCTTGATATTTGTCTTTAACATCTGTCGCCGGCGTGTAGTACTGCCGGGAATATGAAAACCAACTTCGATGTCCCATTCGGAATAGAAGTGGATTAAATTGGTTGTTATGATGAGGTTTAAATGTGTGGAAAAAAATATCGCAATTACGGGGTCATTACGTAATCGATTTGGCCGTAATTACGGAATTGATTTTTGTCAATTACGTGCAAGCCTACCAGGAAGCAGGAATTTTGTGTTCCAAGTGTGGCGTAAAAAGTTACATATTATGAACAATATTTGCAGTGTTACAAAAGCAAAAATGTTTAACAACAAGCCTCGTGCCAAAACTAAATTTAAGCGCATTCTCAACAAATTTCTTAACCTATATTTAGCCGGATACAGAAAAGTTAAGATATATATAGAAAATTGTGCCAAGTGTCCATACATTTTTCATTCTCGATCGCGGAATTAGTTTCAATAAAATCCCACGATTTCGAAGAGACAATTTTGCTTACTATTCTCGTGATTTCACAGTCTAAATAACTTTTTTCAAATATTTAAAAACAAAATTCATTTCCTATTTTATTTTGAACGAGGTAAAAATTGCTCATTGTATGCAGTGCGCTAAAATTGCAACATGTATTTGCCTTTATTAATTTCCTAATAGTTTTTAATTTTTACTAATTTTCTACAGTCTTTCAAAATGTTGCGGACCCCTGGTGTAAGCTGTAATTTGTTCTTCCTCTTGGTTTGGTCCATCAAGCGAGCCTTTGTTGAACAAAAATTTGATACTATTTGATTTTTTTCTATTAAATACGTTTAAAAAAAATGGATGTAAAACTTGCCAAGCGCTTCTTATTTACAATAAATTCTTTAAAACGCCACAAATAACGATAGAGGCTCATGCACACCTTCTCAAGCTGTAGCTCAGTGGTTGGTGCAGTAAGACGCAACCGATAACGTAACGCCATTACGTAAACGACCCTGCGACGAAACCACCTTGCGAAAATTGAAATGCGATCGAATAAATGAGTTTATACAACCTTGAAAAACTCTATCACTTTAACCCTAAAAACAAAGTATGCTAAGCATAAACTAACCGAACAGTATTAACCGTAATAATGCCTTCATTATATGAAAAAAATGTCAATACATGAACTCGAAATCCACATCATGGCGTCATAACAGATTAGTTGAGGCGTCTTTGCATCAGAGGACTCATACAATTAACATAGACCAGGCTAGCGTGTCTCATCCGCCGTCGATGTAAGCATATTCTTCATTATTGCAACCCACTCGTTTTGGCGAAGGCTGCCATTCCTCTAAGTAATTTTGTAGTAGGCTCGTGAGCTACTTTTCATGATTTTTCTTACTCAAAACGTCTCTTTGATATCTCGGATAAACATTCCGGTTAAAAACTTATGACTTTTGTGGAGATACGAAAGTTGCGATAGGTCATACAGTCGACGAGCAGTCCGCTCTGATAATGAAAGAACTTTTACTGTGCATGAAAAGCGATGCAGCTCTGATGTCGAAAAAACAACAAATTTAACTGCATATTTGCAGTAACGCCTATCGAGCGGCGATCAATATCGGATTGGATATTTTACATATTGAACTTAGTATAAATGACGTATTTTTTCGTATTTTAACTGCTGTGTATATGAATCCACGCGTCACTCCTTCTAGCTACAAAAGCGAAACAACGTTCAGACTCCATTTGGCATCACATTCAATTTATTACGCCACTGCCTTAATAATTATTTATTAAATAAATTTTGAAATTGGACAACATATTCTTCAAGTGTGATGCCCCGTGTAAATTGCACTCCGTACATTCGTACCATTGACTGTTAGCACGTGAATGTATTTATCGAAATAAAAAATTACTACATATCGATTGAAAATATGAGAATTACGAATATATATTCGAATCAAGAGTCGGTTATTGTATAATGTTAAGTGTTCATTTTGCAGCAGTCATTTCCACTCGTGCTTCGCAAATGGATTCTTGGTTTCGCATTGTCTTGAAGTAGAAACTCCAGATATCTGCAGGATCTCTCCAATAAAACGTTTGAATGCGATCACCAAGCTTTGATTGCTTTAAATACAAAAGCGAGCACGAACGTACCTGGTAATTCCATATAGGCAAATTACCAGGCAAATTTGTGACACCATTCCTTGTTGCGTCACCGGCAAGGCAGTCCAGACAGAAGTTTAAGTACTTATGGTGTGGTACATAATCCAAAATAGCTACGTCTTCCATTCCGACATACCTAGTCACGCTGCCCTCTGGTGCAGTTTCCGTTAGGTTTTTTGTTATCAAATCATCAATTTGAACAACGCTACTCCTTTTTTCAGCTGGAAACTCTTGCGGTAGACTAGCGGGAGTGCCAGTTGCCTTGCTAACACAAACTATCAAGGCTCGATGAGTCGCCAAATTCTTATCCTTGTCGACGTCTGTTACATGTGCATCTAACCCGAGAGATGTGTTTCCTACTGATGATAACTTGTAAGTCATTTCAATAGCTTTATTAAGGCGCAGATAATATCGGAATCTATCCAGCTTATCACAGTCATACTTGAACTCGTTCGAAATATTCCGAAAGTGATCACTGAACTGCATCCTTTGCCATTTCACCAAAAAGACGTGGTTTTCCGAAAACAATGGCGCTTTTTCCAAAAGAAATTCTTTAGTCAGAAGACCACCAAGGCCGGGAAGAAAAAGAAGCGAAGATGGGTTGATATAAGCTGCGAATATTAACATTATTCAATTATCTTATGTTGCATATTCAAATTTATAGTTTAATATATTTTAACATTTCCCACTGCCAAAGTTAGGGATGTGGGAATTGCGAAAGTGAAAAATAAAAAGAAATCTGAAATTATTATTCTAAACGGCTTACAATACGGCCATTACACGCGTGAATTATCAACATCTATGAATTAAAATTAATAATAAAACTAATAAATATCGCGATCGACTGTACTTTAGCACTACTATAGCGGAAAAATAACAGTACAACCTCCATTCGACAAAAAAAACTTACTTCCTCCAATAAGATTCAAAATGCTCAAGTTTTTCATTAGAATAGAGCCTGTAGCCCCAGCGATACGATATTCCATATTTCTTTGCAAGATAGCGTAGTTCTTGAAATGCCTCTGTCACAAGGGTGGCGAACCTTTTTCAATAAATGAGTCAAAAATTTTATTTTTTTAATGGAAAAGAACACCATGAGTAATAGATATCAATGAATGCCTGTTCAAAGGAAAAACGCGTCGCTGCGTCATTTGTATTGTATTTTTACAAAATTCCACACTTGGATACTTATATTTATCAATCGCCTTTTAACATTACTAACGTCACTACCATCCTGCTCTATTGTTACTTCGAATTTCTGCGTCTTCAATTCCAGTCTACAAAATATGTTGACTCACTGAATAGCAGTACAGACGTTGCAAAAATGGACAAATCATCAATTGTTCATATAGTTATGTCATAACGGCGCAACAGCATCATGGCCTGTAGCTGAATAGTGGTAAACATGAGTCAAGGCGGGCTATTCAATACCGCGACGGCGTCTTATTTCAATTTCAATATTATTTCGAAAATAACACTAGGGCTTATTTTGGGGGGAATGTCTTTTATTTTCAATTATCAAAATCAAAATTACAAAATAGAGAATGACGAGATTTTTAAATTACAAAATATGAAGCCGATATCCATTTACTTATAAATATTTTTTATTTAAAACAACTGGTAAACAAAGATTGCATTTAAAACATGTAAAAACACCGACTTTTGAGGCAACTGCCGCGACAAAGATAATGATATTTTCTGAGTCATATTTTCAGTGTGTGTAATATCTTTTTAATTTGCATAATGAGAGTAATGTGCAGCCCGAATTCAACATTTTTTTCGTCGTCGTCACAAAAATTCGAATTTGCGACCATTAGTTCATGACAATATTGATATATATATACCGTATTTCAATTTGGGTTCTATCGTTTAATTATCCTTAATTTTATCGTCTCGTTTCAGAATTATTTGTTGGACGCGAAATGTAGCTGTGGATCGTTTTGTTATTATGTTGTTGTTCTTGTTAGTCATTATTCTTTTCTTCTTGTTGTTGTGAATTTTTTTTTCTCTAACTACGGGACCAATTGCTTTGAATTTTCAGTAGTTGAAGATTTTATTTGTCGCTAGAACACTATTACTATTTTTTATTTCCAAAATGTCTGTGGCCCATATGGAATTCGTTTTATATGTGTGATGAGTGATGACGTCATCGACACTGAAAATTGCGCATCTTGTGACGGTTTCTGCTGGTTAGGCGAAGTTGTGAAAACTGCTGCACCGGTAGTTACTCTAAATAATTGCATACCCTCACTACTTTGTTTTGGCCTTGGTGTTCATATATTTGAGCATTGCTCTGTTGTTATTACTTATCGGTTTTATTACTTATCGATTTTAATCGGTAAGTATGTTGATAGGTATTTGTCTGTATGTCTGTCTGTTAGATGCACGCGATATCTCACGAAAGCAAGATTGAATCTGCTCCAGATTTTGCATGTGCGTTCATCATATCTCGGACCAAAAGTCTATTAATTTTGGGCGAATTATGTCGTATAATTAGCGAGTTATTAATTAATCAGTGATTGGACACAAGGTGTCACTATGGAGTAAGAGTGCTGTTTTGGGATCCCCTAACTTACGATCGATAAGTCTTCGGTCTCTGACCGATATTCTTGTAAGCGTTTTAGCAGGGTTATTGGTATGTTGTTCTCTTCAACTACTGGACAAATTGCTTTGAAATTTGAATATTCTACATTTATCGGATAAATAATCGGACGTTTTACTGAAATATATAAACAAAAACTAAGTGATATATAATGAGAATTGCATCAAAATATATATTTGCCTGGGGAAAAAATATCTGTAATTGTGCATTAAGCTGAATACGGGTCATAGATTCCGAAGAATCATTTCAATTCAGATAAAAATTCACTATTCTGACTAAAATTAAAATGATTATTATAAAATTTTTGCAAGTAGATGGTAACATCGTGACACACTGAGTCTAAAAACTTAAATACATGGCATTACTGCATTAGTTGCAGTTTCAGCAAACACGCTAACCTGAACACATATATATCTGAATTTAATAATAAATTCACCCCAGAACCGCAGAAGCCGAGGTGCTTGTGGTTGCTAATATCAATCCTTTTCGGCACCAAGCCATCAAGTGGTGCTCGTTTTGGTACATGGGGTACGCCGTACAATATGTTTTGGTTCGTTAGTGCCATCGCACGAATGCAAACTGCGTTGAGGAATTTAAGATTCTCATTACCAATTTTCATACGAATCAACAGAGCATGACGACTGCTGCACTGTACCTGCAACTTAGTCTAAGTTAGACTGTATCAATTTATAATATTAAAAAGTCTGTTGAAGCAACAAGGTATCATCCGTTCGGTTTCCAACTTCCTGAAAACATGTGCGGCCCTTATTTTAGCCCGCGAGCGACAAAAGGTTGCCGACCCCTGGCGTGAATGTATTTATCGAAATCAAAAATTACAACATATCAATTTAAAATAATGGAATTACGGATATATATATATATGAATGAAAAATCAGTTATTTTATAATGTTAAGTGTTCATTTTGCAGCAGTCATTTCCACTCGTGCCTCAGCTATCGATTCTTGGTTTCGCATTGTCTTGAAGTAGAAACTCCAGATGTCTGCAGGATCTTTCCAATAAAACGTTTGGATGCGATCACCGAGCTTTGCTTGCTTCAAATACAATAACGAGCACGAGCGTATCTGGTAATTCCATATAGGCAAATTACCAGGCAAATTGGTGAAACCATTCCTTGTTCCGCCGACGGCAAGGCTGTCCAGGCAGAAGTTTAAGTACTTGTGGTGTGGTACATAATCCAAAAACGCTACATCTTCCCTTCCGACATACTTGGTCACGCTGCCCTCTGGTGCCGTTTCCATGAGGTTTCCTGTCATCATATCGCCAAGTTTAACGACGCTACTCCGTTTTTCAACGGGAAGTTCTTGTGGTAGGCAAGCAGGCTTGCCAGTTGCCTTGCTAACACAAACTATCAAGGCCCGGTGAGTCGCCAAATTCTTATCTTCGTCGACGTCTGTTATATGTGCATCAATCACGGCAGATGTCTTTTCTGCTGATATTATCTTGTAAGTCATTTCAATCGCTTTATTGAGGCGCAGATAATATTGAAATCTATCCAGCTTATCACAGTCATTCTTGAACTCGTTCGAAATTTTCCGAAAGTGATCACTGAACTGCATCCTTTGCCATTTCATCAAAAAGACGTGGTTTTCCGAAAACAATGGCGCTTTTTCCAAAAGAAATTCTTTAGTCAGAAGACCACCAAGGCCAGGAATAAAAAGAAACGAAGATGGGTTGATATAAGCTGCAAGTATTAATGTAATTTATAGTATATCTAGTGCAGGGGTCGGGAACCTTTTTGGTCAAGAGTGCCCTAAAATATACATATTTTCAATTGCATTTCCGTGCGAGCCATATAACATTTCTTCACTTAATCAGGCCTGAAACGTTTACTCAAAAGTCAACACATTCCATGTCAATATACATTTATTGTGACTTCTGATGCTGCATGTTGTCGCTGCGGGCCTTGAACGGTTGCTCACATGCAGCCAGTATGTTCCCCAGCTTTTAATTTTTGGGGGGGGTGTTTCGAAATTTAGGGGTGGTAAATAATTTGCTATTAGCGATGAAACTATTTGTATTCTCAAATATTGGTATGTATTTAAGAAACGATGTACATGAGGGGGTCCCCCGAGTTGATTGTCGGCGAGCTAAAATACACAGCAGGATAAAATTGTAGGGCCAGAAAAGGGGAGCGAGGAAAAGTGCGCGACGATACGGCTGAGAAAATTTTGAGAAATAGGCACCAAAATAGGTTCTAAGCTTGATTTTAGATACACCTAGCATCGCAGTTTGTTATGTAATGAAATTAATAATTATAATATTTAGCTGATAGAATTCCCGAGGAATAAATTCCAAGCCCAATTTAAGCAAGTAATTTACAACTTATAGTGACTGATGAAGTTACTTGCTCATTTAGCATATGGCATCGTATGATTGGCTACTTATGGCTTGTTTTGTTACACATTTCACATTTTTTTGAACATGTTTGTTTGATTTTTGTACGAATCAAGCAATGAATTAAATTTTGAAATACGCGCGTCAACTGATCATAAAGGCGCATAATGTTGTATTCCTTCTGAACTGAAATATTTTGTTGGCAAGGAAGACAAATCGCTGAAGTTTGATTTTTTACAATAAAGAAATAAAAACACTGTCATTCATCTAAAAAATGTCTGTTTTCAGTGCCTACTTTTTGTTTTGTGACATCTTTAAGCTTTCTTAATATATGGCTAATATGGTATCTAAAATACTGCGGTGTGTAATCCTAATACCCATACGTATACATAATATACCGGTATAATTCAATTGTTACGAAATAAAAGTGCTTAAACTGTGATAATGATGTAACGATAGACGGAATCTAAAACTCAAACGTACCACATGAAGTGTTAAACTATTTCACTCAAGTTCGGCGGGCCATTTTAAATCGTTACGCGGGCCGTAATTGGCCCGCGGGCTGCGGTTTGGAACCCCTCATCTACACTGATACATATTCCATAGTCGTTATATTTGAATACAATTATAATTGAGTCAGGAATTACAGTGTGGACTGTGGAATCAATCGCACATGGGAATAACAGTGTCGAATCGCACTTCAAAATTAGGGGGGGTGTTTGAAATTTTAGGGGGGGTGTTCACCTCCTATAGGGTGGGTGTAGGGAAATCACTGCATGCAGCCCAAGTTGAAATCTACGATACTCATAAGTTCATAACCCTTTTTCGTTTAGGCATCTCCGTAGTATTTTAAAAATCTATCGCTTTGTGATGTCACAATATATGTTCCAGAATCCCCATGTTTTGTCACAATATCTGTCTGGTAATTCTCTTAAATAACATAGACATGCGCTGAGCCCGCGTTGTCAAACATATTGGGAATATTTTGCCAAATTTGGCCATAAAATAGTTTGAAGTCTAGTAACAATAGTAAGCTTAATCTTAGAATAATAGATTTTTCTGGGAGCCATATGCCGTCATCAAAAGAGCCATATATGGCTCGCGAGCCATGGGTTCCCGACCCCTGATCTAGTGGTTTATTTTAACATTTCCCATCGAAAAGTCAATGGTGTGAGTTCTGGGAAGTGGAGGAAAGTCTAAAATAATTACATTTTAGGGTATATGAAAATATAAAACATAAAAAGTCTGCGGAACCATTTCTACAACTATCCACAATTTGGAGGACGCAGAAAAATAAGTTTATACTGAAAAAAATCAATTCTAGCCGCTTTTTTGCTTGAATAGGTATGATTTCACATCCGGGATCATTATCTTTGTTTCCATATTCTACAAATTTTAAAGACAGGCTTCACCAACATAGCCATGAAGAATTATCCATTCCCAAGCCGCGCCACTGCTCTTCAATAGTTTTCATGTTTAAGTGTGGTTTGGACTATGGTAGTTTTGACAAAAAGTCGAAATGAACGTATATAACGTCTTACAATATGTCCATTACTACACGCTGTGAATTGTCAACATCTTTAAATTAATCTTGATAATGAAAGAAATAAAACCACAGTCGACTACTTTAGCACTTAGCACTACTAGTGAAATAATAACAGTACAACCTTCATTCGAAAAAAAACTTACTTCCTCCAATGAGGTTCCAAACGCTCAAGTTTTTCAATAAAATAGAGCCCGTAGCCCCAGCGATACGATATTTCATATTTTTTCCGAAGATAGCGTAGTTCTTAAAATGCCTCTGTTGTTTTGCGAGTGTTGTTCTGTCGAAGTGGTGGTGATACGCTTCGATTACGGAGAATAATTTGATTTTCCTATTGGCAAAGTGACCGTGGGTTGTCAATATTTAATCAATGTCCACATCGAGAAGAAACGTGCTGCTGCACCATTTCCGTATAACAGATAATGGTAAACAAGAGCAAAGACATTTTTTTGTACCACGACACGAAGCTTTTGAATCACTCGCCAAGCACGATTACAATATTTGTAGATAAGTTCATATTAACGATGACAAAATTGTGTTTAATTATCAGGCAGCTTATTTTTCGTGTAGGTGCGCCATGAGTTTTTTCCATGATAATTTGGCGCCCCATGAACCGCTGTCTTATGTTAAGTTTGATCAATAGGAGTGAACAATTCCAGATAAGTACCATGCCGTTGGTGGCCAGACATCGTAAATCATCATTTAGGCCCGCATAAACAAACATTGAGCCAAGGCTGGACTTGCTATTCAGCAAAAAGTATTCGCACCCATTACACTAAATAATTATGTAACGTTAATCTGAATAAATATGTGCTTGTTTTTGTAATTGAGTAGGCCTACTAAAAGTTGAGATATAGCTGTGTCAATGAAACATCAAAAATGCATATTTCGAGCTGTCCAGCAATATTAGAGCGAACAAGGGCCGCGGAAAATATTAATATATATATTAAAAGGGGCCGCGAGCTCAAAAGTTTGGGAAGCCCTGGTTTAGACTAAGGTAGTTTTGACAAAAAGTCGAAATGAACGTATATACCGTCTTACAATATGTCCATTACTACACGCTGTGAATTGTCAACATCTTTAAATTAATCTTGATAATGAAAGAAATAAAACCACAGTCGACTACTTTAGCACTTAGCACTACTAGTGAAATAATAACAGTACAACCTTCATTCGAAAAAAACTTACTTCCTCCAATGAGGTTCCAAACGCTCAAGTTTTTCATTAAAATAGAGCCCGTAGCCCCAGCGATACGATATTCCATATTTTTTTCCGAAGATAGCGTAGTTCTTAAAATGCCTTTGTTATTTTGCGAGTGTTGTTCTGTCGAAGCGGTGGTGATACGCTTCGATTACGGAGAATAATTTGATTCTTCTAATGGCAATGTGACCATGGGTTATCAATATTTAATCACTGTCCACATAGAGAAGAAACGTGCTGCTGCACCATTTCTGCATAACGGATAACGGTAAACAAGAGCAAAGACGGGCTGATCAAGACATTTTTTTGTACCACGACACGAAGCTTTTGAATCAATCGCCAAGCACGATTACAATATTTGTAGAAAATCAGAATTGTTTTCATCTGATGTTGATTTTATGTGCTATGAGAAAATATACAATCCGCGGCCGGTAATAAACTTCGAAAATGCCATGCCGTAATAGCATGCATTCAACGTAAACGATCTACTACGGCTACGCTAATTCATAACGCTATTATCCCAGCTACAATCCTCGGAAAAACTATAATTTAAATAGAGCTCATTTGATACCGCTAATGGTTACAAAGGTACAACGTGTGGAGTTGACGTTTTTCATCTTCAGGGGTAAGGATGCTAAGTATGACTACTTACAAGTATTCGATTCTTATCCGATTCCTAAATTTTCGAATCCGATTCTCGATTCCGATTCTCGATTCCGAATCTCGATTCCTCGACATATCTCACCGAGAAAACATACCCACCTAAGCAATACCATATGAATTCAACCAAAAGAGTAATGTTCAAATATATGGATACGAAAGCCAAAACTAAGTAGCATGGGTATTCAATCTGTCACAGTAGACAAATTCGTACAAAAACGAATCTCTCAGAACCCAAAGAGATTTTTGAAAAGAATAAAGGCAAAAGACTTCCAGTGAAAAACTACATATATATATATAGCCTATATTTATGAAGTTTGCGATGTCGTAGCAACTCAACATAGCAGTTTATACCTATATGGGACGGGCTTGTCACAAAACGTTAATAATTGTTTGCAATCCAAGATTCAACTTTGAAAATCTATTTCAATGTATCGGAGTCGATTCCGCGAAGAATCGATTCTGTAATCGAATCCGGACTCGATTCCGCCATCCATATTCAGGGGTACGGTATCGTTTCTGTTAGTAACAGCAAAATGCGTGCCCTGCGATCATCGATCCTGAAGAATCATTCCAATCCAGATTAAAATCCACTATTCTGGCTAAAATCAAAATTATGCAAAATGGATGGTAACATCGCGATTGCGTGTTTGTTTACATCTATTATACTCATTTCCATGGCCTGCACGACTATCAAACATATATTATTTATATTTCAATTGGCGCAAAATCGGACAACGATGTTGTCATGTTTTTAAACTTCTCCTGTAGTTAAAGGTTATCTTTACTCTTAATATAGTCAGAAAATATTACAACGTAACTATAATATCATACCCTGTGGTGTTCCAACATATGTTTGAAATAAAATATACAAAATAAATAAAAAGTGGAACTCTATATGTAATCCAAAATCAGTTATATATGGCAATGCAGTCATTGTATATTTGACTGTTTCCGTAATCTAATGCTGCAACATTATGTTATTTAAGTGCACAGGGATTCATTTAATGATTATTGAGACATATTTGACTTCTCTCCAGTACCATTAGTCTTCTGATCCCGGCCGCGTTTAGAACGCCTGTTACGAATGAACAAATACGTTGACAGAATTGCAGCAGCGATGAGAACTGAAAAAGAAATGTGATTGAATAGTTGATCTTATACTAACAAATGAAATTTGAGTTAGAGTAGTACATGATATAACGCGTTATTCAATTTTCAAATAAATCTTATTAATACTGCCTTGACTTATGCAAACCATTATGATTTTTGTTACGGAATCATGAGTCCCCCCCCCCCCCCCACGACCCACCGAAATCTTGAAGTGTATGGCTCATCTGCAAAATAGTGTTCATTAATTACGCGCAGTTTTCAGGTGAAATAATTTATGCATTCTCCACTTACCGGCTGAGCCAGCAACCACTCCAAGAATGATCCACTTCATATTGGAATCTGCATAAACAAGAAAACAATATGTTAAAGATTTGTTCTGTTTTCCGAATCACTTAAATCAGCATATTATTCATAGTGTTGTAAGTTTTATAGCCTCACCTATTTTATTTTTAATAGGTGGTGGCTTGATAAAATATGTTGTAATTGCAATGTTTGAGATTTCAGACGGGTTGTTGGCGTCGTCATAAGCTTTGATTGCAAAAGCAATTCTAAAAAATGGTTGTAATAAACAGTTTTATTAATTTACATTTTACACCATACTTGGCTTACTATTGTACATTATAAAAAATTGAAATATCAATGTCAATGTTATCGCAGCTGGTAATATCCCTGGCCGATTTTGGGTAAATTGCTTTTGTTTTTGTAGTGTTATAGAATTCAATTATATTGACATTATTTTCAAAGATATTCCATCAATACTCACTATTGTATATTGTATATCAAGTTGGTTAGGCTAATCTGTTGACATACTGTATTCTAAAACGACCAAATATAATGCGCGTTACGCGAGACTAACTACCGGGGTTACGCAAGACTAACTACCCTTCCTTGCTCAATGCCTTTGTGGAAGTGGATCCGTATGTGTGTAACGCAAGGATGTTGTGGCAAGAATAAAAATGACTATACTATTTGATTCAAGAGTCTTGCTGCACCCTAACACCAGTGTATTTCTGTAACGTTTCGGAATGTGTTGGCGTATTTAGGTACCATCTTGATTCCCACTGCTGTTCCATTGATTGGAAGGTAATGTTTGCCATTGAATACAAAATTGTTGTTGTGGAGAACCACATTGACCGCTTCTTTGACGTTACAGAAATACATTTGTGGTAATGTGCAGCAAGAATCTTGTATCATCGACCAATTTCCAGAGAATGTACTTTACTTAGTATAAATAACTAACTGTCTCTTTGCAAGGTTCTCAATTCCAACTTATTAATAAACAAACACACTAATGATTTGTATGTAATCAAATTTGTAACTTTTACCTGACGGTGTCATTTTTTGGCAGGTCTGCTAATACAATTGATAGTTTTTCGTCAGACAAGGCCATGTTTGGTTTATTATTTTGCCCATCATTTATCCATTCATCTTTTATGATCAACCAATCACTAAACTTCGACGACGAAAAAGGGTCATAGCTGAAACGAATCTCATAACGAGATGCTAAAATACAAGATAGAAATGCTCAAATATTTGGACACGAAAACAAAATATTTTACCCACAATTTCTCCAAAAACCATATCCTGGACATATCCATTGCAACTCATCGGTGATGCTACCCGGAGTGCCCTAGCTTTAATGGATTCTGTGACAATGATGATTACGGCGCCTTGTGCCAACGTGAATTAATATGCTAAATGATTCGACTCAAAACTGTAGTTTAAAATCATTTACAGAACTTTACCCTTTTCAGAGATATTACCGAAACGCGAACAATATTTTTAAAATCGTAAACAATTCAATCAATTTGTATACTAAACTCTACGACTTTTCTGTTATTATTTGCCCCAAGGATAAACTGCAACAATTTACCATTTCCAGAGTCGTAATCATTGCCTGGAGCCGTAAATTCTAGCAGTAACCCAGCTTCCACGTTATCCAAATCCACTTGACTTGCCGTTAAATCTGTTATCATATTCGGGGGAAATATGTCGTCTGCAGTGATAGACCTGAATGAACAGTTACATGAAATAGACAGAGGAATGATTCAACTGCAACGATCGCATAGTTATTGTTTACTATAAACAGTGGCACAGACACGGCACAGTGTTTAATTGCAAGGATTCTTGACTTTGGACTTAGTTCACAATGAAATGATTTACTTTTAAACGTTTTAAGAATGGGACGTCATTAAGTAACAAAATAGCCTCCACTGACCCCGTGTATGCAAATCCTGGCGATGAAGATGTTCGTTCAATTACGCCTTCAACATTCACTCCTTTGTAAGCAGATGGGTTTGCAGAGTTGTCCTGTTTTGAAACATAGGTACCTGCTCATGATAATATCGATCACATTATGAAATATAGCTCTACCACGGATTTAATCGAGAACATGCTAATTCTTACCATCGTCTAAAAGCACGCCATCGTCGTAGTCAGTTTTCTGCAATTCTAATACTGAAGATAATCTGTCTTTACCGTCTCTTGTTACATGTATCTTAAACAACACAAATAGGCACGGTAATTGAAGAAGTCAAATAGGTTAAAAAGCCAATTTGAACGAAGGACAATATTTTTTCACCTCTACTGCGTGTCTTCCTATAGCACTGAAATCAGCAAAATAGCGTGAATAAACACCATCCTTCGGGTTCACATCTGGTCCTGCAAAATGTGATAGAATTTGACAATGTTTTAAAATAAAAATTGACTTGGCGGAGACAGATCAGGGATCTGAGTCTGATCCTGTTAGTGCCTATTGTCCATGACTGTCATCTCGACCACTTTTAAGAAATCCAGTGCTGTATATGGTTCCATGAGCGAAGAACTCAGCTATACGTTAGCATGGTTGATCGTCGGGTATATTGCTCTTGGCGTGAAAGGAGAAAATTGGGTCAGGCTTCCTCAGACAAACATTATTTAACTATGACAAGAAGAGAAATTACATACACATGTGAAATAAATGCATGGAAATGTACGTACAATTTCTCTTCTTGTTCTAGTTGAATAATTTTGTCGAAGGAAGTTTGACCTTGGTCAGACGAAACGTTACAGAAATGAATTTGTGTTAGTGTGCAGCAAGATTCTTGAATCCCTTAGATTACATGATTACATATTACATTTGCCATAACATATACATGTACTTCTAGCATTGAACATATTATACAAGTTAGGATCCTTGACCATACCTGCACCGTTATCAAACAATTCAACAACAGAAATAGTATCATCAGGTCTTGTAACAGTTGCATTCACACTAGCTCCAAGAACAGGCAGGAAGTTTTGAAAAACCTGATAATATACAAAATGGGATCACTGTTTCTTTTCTAAACAACAATATAGCCCAAGGTAACAAATGATACCTTAGCAATTATGATTGGCGGTAACGTTGTATTATCTGACACTTTTAATTCCGTTTCGACTGTGATCGGATAAACGCTGAGATCGGAAGGTCTGGAAATCACTGCAGTGGTGATTTTGTTTTCTGACGTTGAAAACATATTGAATTCCCAAATCCCAATCTGCAAGAAATATTTGATTAGCTTGGCAGATGATGAACGTAGCTGTTACATGCAATAAAACATTAATGAAGAAATCATAAACACTCCACCACTGTTTCATAAACCCAAATCTAAAATAAGTAAATCAAACATTTGCTCATAAAAGCCAATCAACTGATTTGAAAAGTTCAGGGCACTGTTAATACATTCAGCCCGTATTTATTTATAATATTGTGATGTCAACGCACTCGTGGAGACTCGGTTCTCTCGTTTTACAAGATTTATTATCAAAGCATTATATTAGGAAAAGAACAGAAGACTTACTTTTGCCGTTCCAGGAATATGAAATTTAATCAACTTGAAATTTTCGTCGGTTTTGTGTATTGGGCTATCATCGCAGTACTTCTTGTTGGAGTTGTTGGAGTTTGAATATATACAAGTTGACTTTGGTGGTTTTAATTCTATGGTAGGTTCGTCGTCAGTCCATTTAAAGACAAAAACAGTTCTATTGCCGACAGAACCATCAATTGCCGCAGTCACCGTATCGGGTGTTCCTGGCTTGAGTTTGATGATTTTATTTAATACCTGAAAGGCAAATTAGTGATCAATTTCATTACAATAAAATGAAATTTATACTGAGTGATGCATGGGGTGATTCAGAATGTATTTATGTCGATGTGTGCGTGTGTGCGGACTGTCATCTCGTATTTCTCCCATGTGAGAGGAAAACCAATAAAACGTCTAACCACGCCCTCTTTTACGATTGACCGTCTATTTTTGGTATAGTTGAACAGTTGTTACTAGTTTTATATGTATGGACCTGATTGGTTACCTGTACTGCGTTGGCTGAGAAGTTTCCATCATCCGATTTGCTAAGTGATGCAAATATTCCACTGAGCTGTGATACAGACTGATCAGACGTGCTTGCATAATACCATTTCCCCCCAGTTTGCAAACTCAAACTAGCCAACGAGGCATCCTTAGAAACATCGACGAGTCCAAAGAAAATAGAATCGACAACCACACCCTGTTGTTAGGTATAAAAATTTCGGTCAACTTAACCTAAACTTCAGAACAGAATTTAAAAAAACCAATTTTCTAGGCACATATTTATAGCACGGTCTGCCATAAAAAACGATAAGACGTTAATTGACAGTCACGTGGTATCCAATCTGAATTGTCTATTATAATTTCACTGTGTTTGTTCTAATTGCGAAGTTACTAGTCAAAAGCAGAACATCGCGGTGTTTCAAATTAAGCATTTGTCAGGAATTTTGATGGTACACAGATTTGATATTTTTCACAATGTGCAAATCGAGAAATATTACGTCATTTAAATGCTCTATCAAAAATTGCTCGATGGCCAGACAGTTTTACCTATTTAATAATAATTTAAAAGATTCATTGGGGAATTCATATTTTTAATGAGTAAGTTTTCTATATTTTCATCGTTCTCACACTCTTAATTGCATCTGCAGTAATGTCTTCAACGAAAGGTTTCGCGTTTTCTTCTCCATCTGTAAGAACAATCAGCTTTCCTCCTTCCGGAAGTTGACCATTTTTACTCAAGACCTGTGTACAAAAAAAAAGCCACTCACTCATCGAAACTGAGGCAATTTTTCAATGTTATCGCACCTTGATTCCTTCCAGAATTCCAGCACCAATACCGGTGCTTCCATTCACGGATGAAGGGAGAGACTTGATCATCTTTTCTCTGCTTCCGTCATCATATCCAATTTTAGTTAAAGGTTGAAGAACAACAGCTGATTCAGAAAAGGCGACAAGACCAAGCATCATACCATCACCGAGTAAACTTGATATTGGTAGTTCGGATGCACTTCTGAGATCATCCAATCTTTTCTAGATAACACATTTCAAAGAAATGTACACGGGTTAGCAATAGGAATGGATATATCCAACTGGGTTTTTGTGTAAACATCAGGTTTCATTCTATACTAGATATGCAATGCCCATGCACATTATAAAATTATAGTTCAAGTCATGTTCGTTTGAAACGTTCGAGTTGTTTCTAGAATAAATAAAATGGTTAAACTGTGGATGAATACTTTGCCATGCACATATATAACAGCATTTGTTACTATTATTTTCTTCATATGCATTAGAAATATGGCAACCGTGAAATTATACTTACTCCGTACATACTACCAGAAATATCCATAATTAGAACGATTCGCTTGGGTCCAGGCCTGACTACTTTAAACGAAGGGTCTGTATTTTGTATTGTAGGATTTGGAGGATTCACTGCACCGTTTTGAAAATCAACTGAATTCATTATAACGTCCCATGTACTTCGGTAATTGCACTGTCTGTTATGATTATTGGGTGCTTCTTTGTTGTGTACATTCATGGGATCTGATGGATCATCGTGACAAAACGTTGAAACCTAATATAAAGACTCGATATCTTTAATGCTGAGTAGTTGAAAAAATACAGCATATAGCTAATACATTTGTGCTAAGGACGATGCCATCATGCCATAATCTTAAATTCGTCTGTTTATGACAATATAATTTTTTTTTCACTCACAAGTTCAACAACAAGATATATATAACACTAGTAACACTGGCGACAAAATAACCAAAATAACTGCTTATGTTTCCCATATAACGTATTATACAGACATTCCGACCTACGCAGACTCGTGTGCGGAGATTATCAACAATGTGAGAGGCTCAATCGCAGTGATTGTAGTAGGGGAACTTTAAATTTCCAACGCAAACAAAACGACACCTTTTTTTTTATTTTTAAGATGTTTATCCCTTGTTTATGTTAAATCACCCATTTAAAAACACGTCCCTTATTAATGCGCCAAAGTCAGATTTAAGTATGTTATACTTTTTTATTTGTTTCATGTCTCTATTTGTTGGCATCTATCTCACAGAACGAGTTGCTGTGGCGAAACGTGTTCTTTCGTTGTCGTTGGATTTTTCAAATTCACTTCCATTTTCATCAAATGTAATGACAAAATACTTTAAACGAAATAATAATAATAAAACATCTGAATCTTTCAATTAACAAAACATGCAATCACCACGATCGAGCCTGCCTGGACCGAAACGTCTGGTCTGTAACGTCAGTGGGCCGAAGCCCGAATCGTCGGTACCTCTGTCACCCCCAGCCAAAACGATTTGCAATTTTAACAAATAAAAATAATATTTGGTTTCAGGTTTGAAATTTTGAACGCTAATATCTGGATGTAAATTGGTTCGTCCCATCCGTTAACTTCTGCAGTTCAGTCTTTCTTTGCTCTACTTTTAATTTACGGGGAAGTGAGGTATCGTTACCGTGGTATGAGAGAATTTAAACAATCAGAAGTCAACAACGTCCTAGTCTATATTAGGCATAAATTCTCACTTGTCCAATAAACTGCTTGTACATCATCGACGATATAATTTCTTCAGGTTGATTTGAATATCGAATGAATCTGCAGTTATTTGTTGATGGCAGGCGACTCGATTCAATGGGCTCGCATTCTTGTCCGTTGGAATCGAGAAACTTTCCAGTAATATAACCTGAACATCTGTATTGCATTTATAAAATATAATGGTAATTTTTCAATTAATATTCTAATGTAGTATTTTGCGAATATCAAAATACTAGAAAATATGAATTTAAACCCATATTTTTTTTTCAAAATGATAATATACTAGTTCTATTTTAAAGGATCGTAAATATATATTATTAGATTGATTTATTTGAACTTAATTCAAAACCTCATTAAAATATGTTTATAAAGTGATATGGGATCCTAGTCCGTGAGTTGGCTGAAAATGCATTCAGTTTGCCTCGTAAAGTGTAATTTCCAATTTACCCGGTAGGCATTGGTTCGTTTGTTGTAGACAAGTAAAACTTATCTTTATCATTGGTAGGATATTCATCTTTCACTCCCCAGCGATAATGACCCCATTCATGCACGACAACCTTCCCTGTGAAATTGAATGAAACATTAATTTCTCTGATTGCTGCAATCCGTATCCATTCTTCAAAATGTGCCTGCTTCTACGACCTATTTGAACTGTTTAGTATTATTCGTGTCAGCACGAACTCGAATAGGCAGACATTTTTGTTCCTCACTGAGAGATTTTTGATAGTGAAATCTTGATAGTGCTCAATAGGTTTGCTAAGCCTATACCCAACCCGACATAGACTGGTAACCGTACGAGACGCTGAGTTATAAGCTACTTTATCAACTCTGTTATCTTCGTATAAATTTGACAAAATTCCAGTCGCGCCATATTGCAAAATTTTGAATTATTAAAACAGATTATTTGAGCTCCATAATTGTAGTAGGTCTACTTAATTATACAAACCTCTCGGTCCATACGATGATAAATATTTTGGATTAGTCATGTATTCTGGTGTCAAATGAATGTATTGATCTTTACCACCCATTTCCCCACAAGGGACGTAGGTCAAGGCATAGGGGTTGTGCTGAAGCTGTGGGTGTGGTGGAGCAATCCTTATATCAGCCTATAAAAATAACGAGGTTGTATATATGCGTGTGATTTCTGTTTTTTGATTTTTATCACTATGATCATTAACTCTTACATATTTATAGGCTTCCTTATTCGATACAGCGTATTTACCAGAGGTCCAATTACTTGGCACTAAAATGGTGATTTCTCTGAAGTATGCTCTTTTTTTCGTGGCAGTAAAAAGATCAGCAGAGGCATCGGTCATCATATTCTAAAATCGATAAGAAAATTTTTAAAAAATGGGCAAATTTATTTGAGCATTGTTTATACTTCGGAGAAACAGGATGCTGCGGAATAAAGTGGAATCCCTAGGAATAATAATGATGCAAAACGGAAATAAGAATCATCTGATTAAGCTTCGAACTCACCTTGATAGCAGTAATCAGATTTTCATCTTCGGGTACTTGGTGATCAATTGCAATTAACACTCCAGCGTATCCATTGTTGACTATGGTCGGTTCAGATTTGCATAAATCGATCGCCCGTATAGATAAAACAATGAATAGGAGCACCCGCATTACTTCTGATCGGATACTGAATTATGTGCGAATCTAGTTTCGTTTTGTATAATTTACAGAATGTCTGTAAATCAATATTTACCATAAAATCACCGCTATATCTCAAAGAGTTTTTTAACGGAATAAAAAATATTCTCCCAGAATATTCTCATTTACAATCATACACAGTTACTGCCACTAAAAGTAATTTCAAAGTATTTATATACTCACCTTTTTCTGTAAATAGATATTCGACGTTTTGCACAACACAAAGTCATATTTATAGATTATTAATACCCATTCTTTTGGAAGAGGTGTGGCGTATAATGCTCTTTTTGGTATTGTTAATCAATAAATGATAGGTTAGATCAACGAGGCTAGACGTTTTGTATTCGTTTTTGTTTTGAATGAGAAAAGAGTTATCGGAGCGGATGTTAAAATTATAAGATATGTTGTGTAACATAAAATCGTTAATATTTATACGATCACAAATAATTCCTAAATTGAATTAGGTTTAGACTGGACCAAATAGGCTATTTGCTGTCTTTATCTCGGCGTGTCACAGTATAATGTTTGACTATTATATATTTAAAACTGCATTCTTTTTGTTGTTGGTGTATTTTGTAGTTCGGCGCAACTCAAGATCATGTTATGAACGGCGATCTGTTGCGGGGCAATATGACATCATAGACTGTAACATATTGTGTAACTTATTCGTGTACCGCGAGCGAGCTGAGTTTGCGCGCATCGTTATGCGCAAACAACGCGTAGCAAAATTAATTGGCTGTATTTGTACATCACTTGCATGGCTGTATATGTATATTGAGTTGGCTATATATGCATACGACATTGACTGAATATGTATATTTGATTGACTGTATACGTCTATGAGTTGGCGATATATGCATATTTTGACTGTATATGTATGACACGTTACCAACCCTATAAAACTCAAGAGCATGAAATGTACGCTATCAAATGATGAGAAAAAGATAATATAATGTTTCTCAAATTTTTACGTTATAGAATTTGAATATACACGAATTTGAGAGAAATCGCGCTGCAAAGCGTGCTACTACGATTGCAAGTGTCGAAAACATATTTTTCTCCTATACTTAGTCTATACAACTTCTTACAGTTGCCTAGTAAATGTTGTAATCTTAGTTAAACAATGGATTAAATGATTAAAGTTGAAATCTGATATTTATAACTCGTATATTGTACGTAAGTAACTTGTAAGTAACTGTATATTAAAACTTGATTGAATATCACAAATGTTCATTGCGGTTTGAATCACTGAAAAAATGAGGCATCGGAGCCCAATTCTGCAATGGCGATTTAAGAAGAAATATTCCATTTTTGTTGTTTTAGACTTTGAAGGATATTAATTTATTTAAGAATGCGAAGCTTACATGTTCTTACATTTTTATTTATAACACGCGCGCAATTGTTAATTTTTTTTAATAATATTAACTCCCTGATACGCTTACCAAGTTCAACTTGAATTGTGCGTGCGAATATTACTCTAAGCGACGATAACTCGATGAAGCCTTTCCAAAACGAAACCCTAAACTCATAATTATGTATGAGTTCACGTTCAGACTCTTTGTCTGTTGTACATCAATGAATGATCTATCAAGTTTCATAAAATAAAACTCGCTTGTTGTGAAGATCCTCTCATTGTTATTAATTTCTTAAAACTCTTTATGTTGCCCTAGTATATATAAAGAATTGTAATAAAAAATTTGTTGTGAATAAAATTTAAAAAAAGAATAAAAATGATACATACATAGGAACTGTGAATCTTTCAATACTAGAACAATATTTATTCACAACTCGGAAATGTATTATAATATAATTAAAAAGAGAGTATTTCAATAAAATAGGTATTAGTAGGTATAGTAATTTCTTGTTGTCTGGTATTAAAATGCATCAATAGCATTTTGTGTAAATCATCAATGGATATATATTTACTTTTGATGAGTTGACCGTATATCATTGAATTGTGTATGAAACACAAACTTATTTCTTACACCATTTAATTACTTCTAAAATATTTTTCTGATTTCCGATTTTAGTATGGACTGTGGGATGTACGGTACATGACGCAATATCATTATATTTACAGTATTTTTTAATTCAAAGCAAGGGCCCGAACTTTCAGCTAAAAGTAAAACGATCATTGGCAGCAAAGGTGCAAATGATCACTTACGTTTACGCTATCTATATTTGCATCGTTATAGTTGGGGCAGAGCACAGCCGTCAGTGAAAATTACACGGCACTAACTGTGAAACAATTTCATATCCGTCGCTAGATAAAATTGAAGATTATCAAATATAACTGACGAAAAGTGAATGAAAGAAAAATCAAAGGCGAAAAAAACAGGTTATAAAATGATATGAGATTCAACGTAATCATTGGAGTAAAGTTTTTTAGGTTTTCATATCGAATACAATTAAAACGTGAATACAGTAAGCGTGTACATACGATGTGATCGATCTGAGTTTGCTATATCTCCATATTAGCAAATTTTAAAATTTCATGAAGTTGATCATCGAATCTCATTTGGGACGAATCCGAAGTATGAACTGTTCTCGCGAAAAAGTTATTTGTAAGGTAATTCAATTCTACGTGAAATGGATAACTCATTACAATATACAAACATTTAACAATCTTCTAAAAGTGTTAAGGTTTAAACAATTTCAATCAACCACGCAATAGCTAAATTCTATGCAGATTCTCGTAAGTCCGTTCATGGGCTTCTTCGTTTTGCTTGCGTAATGCTCTTCTTCTGCGACAGTAAAACACGACAGCGAGGATCAGTAGAGAAGTGGCCCCTGTGATAAAATAGTAAATACATCAATTAAAGACTGTTTTTACGTGACAAAAATACTTCAGTCATAATGGGGTGCTAGAATATATTTTTATGCAGTATCCATAACCATCGTTCAGAACTTATAGTCTTAAACAGTCATTCGGAAATGGAGAGCTTGCAAGCGTCCCATGACTTTTTTTGCCAAACTAATTAAGTATTCACGGTCTGAGTAAATCGACGGTAAATTGTTTTTGTAGTGTTTTTAACTAAGATCTTTAACATGATATTGGGCATCTTGGGGCTCATACAATTGTCCGATAATCAAATCTTACCAATTGCTCCAAGAATCACGCCAAGCAGTAATCCAAGACGATCATCTAAATTAAAAAAAATGAAATAATATTAAAAAAATGGTCAGCAAAAGCACAAAAAATTCAATTTGATATCAGTAAATGTTTTTGCAAATTTCATCATTGATATATGATCGAACTGCTCTTTTTTCAATAGTTTTGAATCTATTTAGATACAATTTAATTTATATTGATTACTCATTCCTCTCAATTTCATTGATTATGTCGATATTTAAAACTTTACATGTATTTGGATCCTCACCATTTGGTTCCAAAACTTCTTTTGCAGTTGTTGTACTTATAGCGGTCGACGTCGCTGTTCCTGTTGTTGTTGTTGTTGGTATTGACGGGGGAACAATGAAAAAAGTCACCATAGCAATATTTGAGATTTCAGAAGGATTTGCACTTTCGTCGAAAGCACGCATTGCAAACGCAACTCTATAAAATATTCCATACTTAATGAAATTTACTATTCGTGATGTATACATTTAGTATTGGCTCATATCCATAAAAATTACTTTGCTACACAGAAGAGTGGAGTAACATAAACACTTCTGCGGGATTCTGTCGTACGAAATAAAATTGTGCTGTAACTTCTCAACAAAAAGGATGGTTGTGTGCAAAGGAAACAGTTTGAATCAAAGGTTGTGAAAAATAAGTTAACAATGAGCTATATATATGCACAAAACTGAACGATTTCAGTGGTAGTGTAGCTCATGTGGATTGTAACTATGGATTATAATGTTATTTAACCCCTTCATAATAATAGTATATTGCATTCTGCGAAATATGTCATAAACTATCGCGATAGCGATAAAGCCTTAGTTTTATGTATATAGCATTATTCTTTCTAAGCGGCCAATTGGGTGACGTATGTTTCCGGTTTTGCCGAGAGCGCTGGAATATATTGTGTTTTTGATGTTCCTATGATTTTACTATTTTAAGGGTTAGTGTATCTCAATTTAACTGTATTCGGTTTGGATTGTGAAACTTTACAATATAAGAACATTTGGCATTCAATACAGTGTGTGCTTTTGCATATGGACTGATGAAGTCCAGATCGGGGTTACATTCCATAACGTGTGTCATTTCAATAACACGAGAATCGAATACGCGTATGGGGCCAAATCATTCCCAATAGTAGTTATATACAGCTTTCCAACCCTCCCGTATATTGAAGCCACTTTCAATTTTTGTATCAGCTTCCATGCATTTGTTACTTTTAGTAAAAAACGTAGTAAACAAATACGATCTATCTCACCGAACTGAATTTTCATTTTGCGGCAAGTCTTTCAGTATTAATGAAAATTCTTCAAAGTTAGTATTTGGTTTTGGCTGACTCAAGTTGCCTTTTGTGATCATATCATCCGTAACAGTGTTTTGTGACGCAAACTCTGTCCTCATTTGCTTGGAACTTCCGTAGGAATATCGAATCTCATATCTAGAAGCTGTAAAAGTAAAAAAGATAATTCTTATTTGAGAGATGTATACATTTAATTATTCATTTGGCAAATACCGTGCGATGGTAAATAATATATTATAATTTTTTTTAATATATATTATTAAAAATTTTCCAAAGGCCTACTATATGGCCCTTATTTTTATTCCGGTACTTAAAGTGCTTTGTAAAACAGACCTTATGACTCACCGACGAAGCTACGTTTGTAAGTACTGTAGTCTGCATGACATTTGACCCCGAAATGAGATTGTATTACATGTTTGTATTCGGGACAAAGACAATATTACCTGTTCCGCTGTCGTAGTCGTCGCCAGGTGATGTGAAACTGAGTCGAAGGCCGATTGAAGCGTCGCTTAGATCAGCTTGTTTAGCTTCAAGATCGATGATTTTATTGGGTGGAATAGTATCACTTGTTGACACACTTCTGTAATACCAAGATAACGAATGAAATAATATTTTCAACATTAATTTTAATTTGTGTATTCCATATCGATGGACACAAGCTATTCAAAAGTATTCCTGTATATCAACGCATAATGGGTTGTGGTTAAGTCACCTATAGAATAATTAAAAAATCCCATGTTATATAGAATGCACCTTGCCCTAGTATTGAGCCCGCTCCACATTGATCTTGGTCTCTTGTTTAGTGTGTATTTACTTGATATGTATTCTGTTAACTTCCAATACAAGCAGACATGCTCACAGTGCAGTGCATTTTTGTCGCCATTCTCACCATTTCATTAGCATACGTCTTAACTACAATAACCTGAATTCCAACCTACTTGTTCCTTTTATTGGACTGACTTTATTGTTTTACATGAAATAAAAATTCCAATTTATTTTATGCATCATGATATAATATAGGATCCTGCTCCACTAAAATCTTGGTCCCAAACTTAGTAGCAATCCATTGGAATCTTCCTATTACTTTCATTACAGGCAGTAATGCTAATGTAACGCCTACTTTTTGTTTAATATTTTGATATTTATGAAACCGTAATCCAGGCCAATTGTATATTATCTATTTTGACTCATTGATCAACTTACGGTAATTTTTGTTCAAATCTACCCCATTCTACTCTATGTTTTATATAAAGTGGTCAATCAAGAATGGTATTTAATACTATCTTTTCTCTGTTCTGCACAAATATACAAATCCTGGTTGTAAATTTATTGACCCCAGGCATCAAAACACCTGCAAGTACAGGTAGCTTGTGAACCGTAAGGGTCAACACTACAATTTTCTTCCTTCCATAACAGTGTCATTATTTTGTTACTTGTACAGTTGACGGTATATTATGCTGATATATAATCAGTCTACCTTAACCTTGATAATCATATGCACGCAATCCAACATTCGATGCCCTTTACTATACCCTAGTAACTAGGGCCTAGTCACCTCACCACCACTAACTACATTGTGACATTATCTTGCACTATAATATCCATGGTTACGTAGACTGTGGTGCTTGGAATCGACTTTATTTGTTTGAAACGGCGACCACTTGGTATGTACCTGGTCGCCTTGACGTACCTATTGCTCTTTTATTTTTTTAATCAAATAACATATTTTGTTCGGTTTTATTGTATTTATCATGTTTTGTTAGACTTTCCCAAGGGTGCCGCCGCTCGATGACTAGTTTTGGTTTTCGGCGTCTCCTTTCACCCTGAAAATGCGATATTTTATATTTCCTTTAATTTGTGTGCTGTGTATAGTTCGTATTTTCAGTATGGTGAAGAAATAAATTACTGATTACATGTAATGAACCATTCAACTAGTTTTAGACACACTGCATGACACACTACTTCAAGAATTTGGTCGCAATATTAAAATTATCCGCGAATTCTTGAAACTGCCTAAATCTTTAAGCATGAGGCTTAAAAAGTCCCAGGGCAGGGAAATTAGCTAGAAAAGACTAAAAATTGACTGGGAAGCGCCCACTCTCACTTTGTCGTTGTTGGACCTAAAAGCTGCGATCATCTATATACCCTGTCTTGTAATTTAGTTTATCCACCCTTTCTAATTGAAATATGTATATAAATGCATATGTTCAACTTACCCAGTGTATGCTAGTCCTGGACTAGAGGCAACTCTCTGTAAAGGTCCATCAATGCTTGCTGCTTGGGTATCCCCCTGTTCAAATGTACCTGTGATGTCAACGTTATTATTCGTGAGCAACATATATACATTAGAATTTACTGAAGATAAGCGTTTTTGACTAATGGTAAAACATGAATAAGTATTTTTTTATATATTTGCAACGGGTTGGTTTAGTCATTACCCTCGTCATAGCAGTTTTTGTCTGTATAAAACAGAGAAATTTAGCTACTGTAATTCTACCAGATACAGAAAAGCAATGCTCAAATATATGGCCGCGAAAATCGCGCAAAACGTAGAATTCGTTCGTCCCATCAGTTGTGAAATAAAGCAAAAATTCACAAAAGAATTAGTAGGTCCATTATGTGTCTAATAACAAAGTATATACAACAAGAGAGCTACGCCCAAATATATGGACACGTCTGTTCGCAGTACAGTACGGTTTACCGTACCGTCAGATCACAGTCTACAAATATAATCACACCAAGCGAAGCAGTACAGATGGACACAAAATGACGTCCGATATCCGCAGAACGTTCAGTGACGTCATAGCAAACAAAAACAAATCTCACAGAGCTAACAGAAATATTTGAAATAAATAAAAGTAATAGCCCTATGGAGAAAAATTTCATCTCCAACCACTAAAAATTTTAAAGCAATTGGTCCAGTATCAAAAAGAAAAGCGAGTTTTTAGGTTTTCTACTAGGTGTCCAAAAAGTGTCAAAGAACAACAAGAACGAGAACAAAAACAACATAACAACAAAACGATCGTTATGTCCACTAAACGTGTCCAATAACAAATACAATGCATCAAATAACATTGTCATCTAAATTCATATGAACATTGCTGTAGTGATCCGGAAAACTGTTCAAGTATGCGAAGATCACGTAATGTGGCAATTATGGTGTTTTGAAGAGTCTAAAAAGGTCTATGCCATTTTTTTTGTAAGGTAAATCTACAGAAAATTGTTGTGTTGTTAGAAAATTTTTCCACCAATTACCACGATAAAGTCAACAATTAACGAAAAGTTGTACGGTTATCAAGAAGAACAACATTATATAAGTCGAAAAAAAAACATTACAGTTGACTGCAAAGTTTCGGGCATTGTATGGTAATGGAATACGTTAGTGCAGTGTAAAGTAGCAATAAATGAAGTTTTCAACGCTGGCAGTAATGTTGGGTCCCCATAAAAATGTTGTCGTCAAAATAACTTGTTTTACCATTTCTTAAGGCTGAACGAGAACCTAACGTTTCGTCTCCTTTGTGCGATGCGTCATCTTTAAACACTTGTACCTGGAAATATTTGATATGATAAAAATTTAGTTTTAAAATGACAAAACATATAAGATAAAAACAGTATCATATACTCGTAGATAAACAAATGAACACTATGCGCTTTGAATACAAAAATAGAATGCCTTTTTTTACAAAGGAATGGAATATAATTTTTAGTTTGATCAGACGAAACAAATCTATTCTAATCTTTTATTCAAATTGATTCCATGGGTTTGGGCAAAAATCATTTACCTCGTTTCAAACGGCACTGATACTAGGTAATGCAACAATTCATACAGTAAATTACCTCAACATAATATCTTCCTTTGGAGTTGAAATTAGAATAATATTTTGAATAGACTCCGTCGTCTCTCTTAAAGTCAGCGCCTGTTGTTAAGTAAATAAATGTGATTCTGAGATTCTATAATATATACATTTGTATAAAATACAGGGGTTTTGCATTCCAACAATGAACAAGGTATGTACGCACAAATTGTATCACATTCAAATCAATGTCGCATACCTTTTCCGTTGTCAAGGAGAATAACATCAGAAGTTGTACCGTCGGGTCTAACTACAGTTGCATTTACAGACGCTCCGAGGACCGGCAAAGAATTCCGAAATACCTAAACAAAATTGCAATCTATCATCATTAATTCATCATTCAACTTATACATTTATGTTTCGATTAACATCTCTACCTCAGCTATTATAACAGCTGCCTTGTTTTGTGAAACGTCGGAAGACAAAATTTTTGCTTCTACTGTTACTGGATTACCGCCAGTTGTTGCAGTGGATGTAACCGTGACAGTTGATTCGTCTGATACACTGCTTTGTATTGTATATTCCCAAATACCAGACTGTAAATATAACAGGTTTTTGTATGTAAATCAGATATCGAAGATTCGATTATATCGACTAATTTTATGGTATCTTTTTACATACTTTAATAACTGTTTCTGGGATGACAAATCTCACGGACGAAAATTGTTCCTCCACCTCGTGTATTGGGGAACCGTCACAATAATTCTTTTGTGATGAAATACGGTTGGAGTAAATACAAGATTGACCAGGAGGTGTTATTTCAATAGTTGGTTCTTGAATGTCCCAGGTAAACGTGAACACAGTATTTTTTCCCACCGACCCGTCAATTGCCACGGTTGAACTAACAATTCTTCCAGGTTTTAGATTTTCATTACGATTCACCAACTGAACAAAAAAGCGAATTAGGTAAGGAAAATAGCAATTGACAAAAAATAAAATAAGATTGAAAAACGTAAGTGAATTGAGAAAGGGTGAAATATTGGAAAATAAAAAGAAATATCGTTAACGTTGACACGAAACAGAGAAAAATGAAGATGAAACCTGAATAGATTCAGAAGACAAATCTCCATCTTTTGACTTTGTCAGTGCTGCAATTATATTTATCAATTGAGAAGTAGTATCAGAAGTGCCATCGCTGTAATACCAATCTCCTCCTGTTTGTTTCGATAGTGTTTCTAAATCTGCGTTTACATTGGTATCACTCACACCAATAAAAACTGTTTGAATGAAAACATTCTGTAAAAGTAAAATAGTTTTGATGACAAGTTATGAACGAAATTATTCAAACAAAATTAAAATGGAAAAAATTATTCATCTTTTTTACTTTCGTTAATGCCACAGATGAAACAGTTGCAACAGTAGGTTTCTCATTTTCTTCCCCGTCTGTCAATACCACCACTAATGCACCAGCTGCATCTTGTCCGTCGGACTCTAATACCTAAAGTAAAATGCAATTTACAAATGAATCTCCAATAGCATAGGGAACAATGATATACAATTACTTCTATGCCTTTCAGAATTCCACTTCCAATTCCCGTGCCTCCGTCAGCTATACGAGGAAGAAGTGCTGTTAAATAATTCCTGCTGTTTGTATCAGAAATTTCAGTGAGTTGAGCCAAAATCAACGATGTAGATTGAAATGAAACAAGTCCCACATATGAACCAGTACTCACAACATCTTTGATAAAATGATTCACGACTGATCGCAGGTGGTTCAGTTTCATCTATAGCAATAATACGATATGGATTTAATCATCTGATACACAAGTACAATTTGCATCAATAAAAAGCATCTTCCAATAAGTTCTCTGCCAACCACAACTTTTTCTGGCAAGTACTTCTTTACTGTATTTCGTGTATGTATTTTTTTATTGTTGTTGTTATATGTTTTATGGCGCTTATAACATCAGTGGCTTTTTGCGCCATTGATCAATTCGAAATGAAAATTCTATACCAACATATTATACAATATTTACAAATAATCAAAGTTTGTGAATTTCTATATTCGATCGTGGTGATGTTATCCTTTGAAAACAGTGAAAAAATTCACTCAACAATGAATACACTCGCACTAAGGTTACATCATTCCAAAAGTGAAGAGATAATATAAATTTCCGAGCATAAGCGAGTCAACGAAACTGAATCGTCGTTGTTTAATTAAGTGATTTATTAGGAGTGGAATTAAAATGCTTCAGTATTCTAGAGTTGTTAATTATATGTTTCTTAAACGTGGTAAAATATGAGAATTAAAAAAACATTAAGTCAAGCAGAAACTCAAACTGGACATACGTCAGCTGCCATGCTTCCAGATACGTCCATTACAAAAATTATTCTTCCAGGCACAGCTCTCAAAATCTTGAATTCCGGAATAGTATCGCTCAATGTTAAGTTCGGCAAATTTACGTCGTTCCGAAAATCTACTGATTGCAATATGACATCCCAGGTACTTTGATAATCACAGATAGTATTTTGAGTATTGTTTGCTTCTTCATTGTGAAGGTTTATCGGATCGGAAGAGTTGTTGTGGCAAAAAGTAGAAACCTAGAAAATTGAAGCGTTGACAACTAACATGTATCTGATGCAATTTTTTTGTTTCGTTCCAAATAGTTGCTTCTCTCCAATAACTGATGTTTTATTACACTTTTCCCTCTTTTTAAATATGTATTGTATATTTTTGAAAATGGTCTGTTTTTAATTAAATTGAGCGCAATAAATAAAATTTAAAAAATATATAAATATATATATATAACAGGCTTATACGAGGCTTGCACGGATGAGATATGACTATGTAGGCCAGGTAGTGCTATGTTAAGCATGCTAAAACCCTTCAGTTGGGATTTTGGAAGATAATAAAGCAGTTAACTAAACGGCGCCCAGGATTGGCACTCTAGAGCAGGGGTCTTCAAACTACGGCCCGCGGGCCAGATACGGCCCGTGGCGTACTTTCATCGGACCCTCAATAACACGAAAAAATGGCTAGTTTTTTTCCAATGGATGTTTCCCCGGGCATCGACTCCCTTTTTTTCGTGACATTGGCCAATCAGCATGATGCAAAACGTGACGTAACAATAGAGCCTTTTGCATCCGCTCGGACACTTTTGTCACTCGGACAGATTTTCAGTCGTGGTTTCAAACAATACCTAATTTTCACGATTTTGAATGCTATTCGTTAGTTTTTGATCTTGATTCCGAAATTTAAGTATGAATCAAATAAGTCATCGAGAATATCGGTTGGAAACCGAAGACTTATCGATCGATAGTTCGGGGATCCCCCAAAACAGAAACTGCAGTTTCGATTAATCCGCTCTTGTAACTTGCGCACTGCGCATCGCACACACACACTCGGCGGGTCTCAAAATTCTCTCGTTTTACAAAAATCTAGATCACTATATCAATAATTGATTGATAACTCGCTAATTATACGACATAATTCGCCCAAAATCAATAGGCTTCTGGTCCGAGATAAGATGAATGCACATGCAAAATCTGGAGCAGATTCAATCTCGCTTTCGTGAGATATCGCGTGCATCTAACAGACATACAGACAAATACCTATCAACATACTTATTACTTACCGATTAAAATCGATAAGTAATCATTATTAGGCCTTCTTAGGAGTTAATTGCAGTAATCAAAAATTGTCTAGAAACAGCTGTGATAAAATAGGCTAAAATTCTCTACCGGTACGCAACGTTTTCTGCGAAGGATACACTCGCTAATGCGCTAATAGTACAAGTCACGTTAACTTTTGTATTTCTTACATGCGGATATTCGTGAGAACAATTGTTTTGCTAACATCTAACCTGAGGATAGTTGTCTAGAAATCTTGTATATTTGTTTTGCTATGATGTTCTTGATCTATATTCTGCGATATAGAATATAATGTTCAAGACTTCAGAAATGTAGAATTTATATTGTTGTATAAATTGAATGAATTTTCCAACTATTGGGAATTTATTGTATTGCATTGACAAAAATATTTGTCCGGCCCGTTTCAACACAGTTTGAGTCATACCTGGCCCGCGGTCAAAAAAGTTTGGTGACCCCTGCCAATGAGCATATATATGCGCATTGCCCCTGCTCAATCATTTGTAGACGGAAATTACATGTAATGGTGAATGTCATGGGGACAACAGGGGTGGCCAACCTGCTTTCGACCGCAATCGACTAAAATCTTCAAAATCGCTCGCGATCGACTGATCGGTAAATAAGGTCATAAACAAAAACGAATGAGTATACTGCATAATATGCAGATATAATTGCACACGCTGCCAATAAGCTCGACTCTGTGGGCGTATTTTAATAAAAACGCCAAATAATTTGCATTTTTTATGTTCCATCTAATTAGTTAATTTGATTAAGCAATTGTACCTGGGGTAACTTTTCATTTTCATCACTTTTAAAATTCATTCGAATCTTGACTCATATACTGTAGTGAATGTGTATATCGTATTTTGCGCATGTAGGCTACAGTACTCTATTTGTCCAGTTTTATATACACAGCAGGCGCTGCATCAAGCTGCTTTAAAGCAATTTTTAGCGTATGTTATTGAATTCACTCAACATCAGACGTGATCGACTACTCGAGACGTGGCGATCGACCGGTCGACGTGTTGGCCACCCCTGGTGTATAATAATGTTTGTTTGGAGCTTCGAATCCAGAAACGATGAAAACTAGTTCAAAGTAAAAGAGTTCCATCAAAGAAGTTGGTAAAAACTACGTGTATTAATATGACTGTATGTGTGACCCAATAGTCGAAAAGATCTCAACTTAACCAGCTGAATATTGAAAAAAACGTCGCCATGTACGTACGACTAAACGGGTAATTTTATCAAAAAAATTAATTCCGAACCTTATCCAAAAATTGCTTGTACATCATGGATGTTTTCAAGCCCGTTGGCTGCAAGTCATCTTCTTCGAAGGAACAAGTCGGATACGGTAAGAATGTTAGTGGATTAGTAATATTGCACACACCTTGATATGTTCCACTGATTGCTCTCGGACAACTTGAATAACAAACAAAAGACTGACTTTCATGTATAATATAAATGAACATGATATGTATATGAAGGTGAATTCGCCAAAAATATAGAAATTATTCTAATTAGAAATGAATTTGAATGATCGCAGATCTTGGAGGGCCGAACCTCATAGAGAGAGCTATTACCCTACATGTGATTCACACAGTCGCTACCTCGTGATCAACATAAAACTCACGTGGCTCAATTCTTGAAATTTAGAAAAAAGATAAAGAGTTTCGGGAAGCCAAGTTAATTTGGGCAAAAATACTGCGGCAGTCTATTGATAGAAAATTAAAAAAAAAATTGTTTTAAAACAACAGATCTTCACTTCGTGTCCACTGAGTAGACACTCACCCGATACGTCCTCAAATTTTAATACAGGTATGAGAGCAAAGGAAACCGATAAAAATGTTGACAGTATGGGATATTAGGCAATTCAAAATCGGAAGTGTTTACGAATAAATAAGATATAAAATACAACCCAGTGGTTAAAAACATGACAAGTATACTTACCGAGTTGCTTCGACCCCTGTCAGTGCAGCCAAGTAAAATGCTTGATCATCATTGACTGGATATTCGTCGAACACTCCCCATCTATAATGGCCCCATTCGTGAACAACAGCCTTACCTATTAAAGACAGGAATTTATTTATCTAATTCATTCATACTTTCATACTATTTATTAATTATATCCATAAAAAATATCTTTATTTTAATAAATACTCTGGAACAGTGGTTGTCAAACAGTATATCAAGCGCGCCCAACAAGAAGGCGTAGACAGTTTTCTGAGGAGGCATGAAGCTAATAAAAATTGAAATATTCGTTAGATTTAATCTTGTCCTCATCAATGAACATACTTTCGTCTTATCTGTTATTTGTAGCTTATTCTTAACTAATTATTTTTGAGGTGGGGCGCAAGACTTGACAAATTCTAAAAAAAGGCGCGCCTTAAAAAATTTGAGAACCACTGATCTAGAATATGAGGTTATTCAGATCAAATTTACTTATCAATACCAAATTCACCTCTAGGACCGTAATTGTCTGCCACTAGGTCTAATGATACGTAATCTGAAGTAAGATGGATGTACATGCCGCCTAATCCACATCCTAGGTACGTCCACGCATAAGGCGTGTTCTTTTCGTATTCCGATTTCTCTATTCGAATATCAGCCTAAAAACAACACTTCATGAGTTGAACTTGAAATTAAAAATCGTCCGTAGTTTTCGTATCTGTTATTTTTGATATAGGTAAATATAAACACAAGAAACAAACATGAGTAAGAAAAATCCTAATATTTAAATATCTTGATAAGAAAATAAACTAATTCCATAGGAAGAATATAGCAATATTCCCAGGATGTTTGACCTGGGTTTGACAATCTTGTGGCGGAGTCTGTGTTCTTAGCCGGCTCGTTACCTCTCAAGGCCAACGCCCACATGAATGAACAGAAATCTTTATTTGTCTTATTCGTAGTTTTCCGCGATACACAGAATACAGTCGTAAAACCAACCTTTCTACCCTGGCGGACCGGTAAAATTAAATAAGATGTACTCGCGGACAGCAAAAATTGAAATGAGTCGAACAGAAAATAATAACATAACATATTTGCGTTATGTCGGGCAATCACTATGCTTTTAGAAAAAGGTACACTCAAAATCATTTCACGTGAGGAAAAACTATCAAATAATGTTCCGGCCAAAAATTGAAATTGGTGGATAATAAAATAATAACATATATTTGCGTAATGAAATGCACTGCTGGTCACCCATTATGCGTAAAAAGGGCACACATCTCACATAAAAACATGTACATACCAAATCATGTACAAACACAATTAACTCCAGTGAGAATTTTGCTACTGTTTCGTTTCCAATACAGAATTGCAAACGAGGCATAAAAAAGGTTTTGCAACACGTAGCTCCGCAGCGGCTCACAGTCAATTTATTTGCTTCGTTTTAATTAAAGCTAGAATTAACTGGTTGAAATTCGGACAGCAGTTTAATTGCTCAATTACTTAGCGATGGGGACTCGATATCATGAGAGCTCAAGAATTAATTGTGACCATGATTGATTCTTTTATAAATCTGCACTGCAAAGTAGAGGTTTCATTGGGTTCATCATATCAATCATTTTGCTGTTGATCGACCCCCCAAACAAAATGAATTTAAATTCCAATGATAAGTCGTTGTTAACTTGACACCAGGCTCAAAATCCTCAAAATCCTGTGCGTCACCCAAAAAATACCCGAGCGGCCCCCGCTTTTATTGCGGTATAAAAGCACGGATGCTGATTTTCAGGTTTGTTAATCTTGCAGATTTGACGAAGCGCTCTCGCGACGAATCGACACCGAAAAGTGTGATTATTCGGCGTCAAGACGTCGCCGGGCCATTAATACAGCGCTTATCAAACACCAATATGATGGCGGAAGAGAATTTACGTAATAAACCAACGTAACTTCGACTTATTAACCAAGGAAAGCATGCAGAACGGAAAAAGCAGGCATGCTGATTTGCAGGTTTCTGAATCTTGCGAGATTTGACGGAGCGCCTGCGCGATGAATCGGAACCGAAAAGACAAAAAGTGTGATTACTCGGCGCCAAGATGTCGCCGAGCCATACCGCACCAATCAAACAGCAATATGACAGAGGAAGAGAAATTGCCTGATAAACCAACGTAACTCCGCCTTTTAGGCTTCGGTAAAGCGATTGAGACGGTAGAAAAACAACAAAATGAAATTTCCCGCGGACCGACGAAAAAGCCAGTCCGCGGACCGGCGGTTGGGAACCACTGGACTCTAATATTGATACAGCGAAGAAGGATTAAATGGTATTTATACACGTTGATCAAACAACGAATAATATTGAAAACGTGATCGAGTGATTCACGCCGTAAACAAAAAAATCTTATCAACTCAATAGGGGTAATTATGTACATCGTACAGCTTACATATATAATTATATTAATCCGTGTCTAAATATCCTGAAAAAATAAATTTTAATTTGATAATGACAGAGCGAAACATGTTCCTAAAAGCTAAAGTTTTGTACTTTGATTCCTATGAAAATCATCATTATAACTTTAGGAAATATTAACCTTTGATTCATATTTGAACTCAAATTAGAGTAAATCTGGAGGACTGATGTCATAGGACAGGGATGGCGAACCTTTTTCAATGAATCCGTCAAAAATTATATTTTTATCGCGGAACAGAAGAGAGTGGGTCACAGATATATGATCAATGTTTGTATCAATAAGAAACTTCTGAAACAAATCTTTTAGGCTTCTGTTGGTGTAGTTTAAGCTTTACTTATGAACCACTTCTATCAAGGACTTTTTATGGCTCTCGATTTTATGAAATTAGAGTACGAAAACACGCATATGAATTACCATAAACGTTTAGGATGATGCGGTAAATTATTTTACGGTTCCAAAGAGTTTGGAGGGAATCCCACACTGACAGTGTTCTTATTTTCGATCAACTTTCAACCACGTTAAGGCACTTTTACAGTGCCCCATTGTTATTTCAGATTTCTAGGCTTTTATTTCAGGTCTGAAAGATTTTGTTCTCTTAATGGCATTGTGGGCGAGAAACTAATAAAATACGAAGTAGCATCTAGTTCTCGCATAACCCCTAAAACAGTCTGCAGATGAACTTCCGAAAGAGACCAGACGTAGCGACAAATTAACATACCAGTTGCATTGTTATGTCATAAACGATGTCAAAGCCAATAGCTGAACGAGAATATCGGTTGGAGACCGAAGACTTATCGATCGAAAGTGCGGTTTCGATTCATGACTCTATAGTGACACCGCGTGTCCCATCACTAATTAATTAATAACTCGCTAATTATACGCTAATTATTATTTGGAGCAGATTCAACCTCGCTTTCGTGAGATATCGCGTAACATACGAAAGTGTCTAACACACAGACAGACAGACAAATACCTATAAACATACTTACCGATCAAGATCGATAAGTAACAAACAGACAAATACCCATCAACATACTCACCGATCAAGATCGATAAGTAAATTATATATTATAGTAATACATATCTTCGACTTTGCAGTGTGAATAGGAAAAATGATGACCACAGAAGTGTACATACCGATTTATAAGATTCTTTTGATGCATCTGTGTAATTCCCAACTGTCCACGTTTTAGGAATCAGTATTGTAATTTCTTTGAAATATGCTCTCTTATGAGTGGCTTCAAACAAATCTGCAGAAGCATCTACCATCATATTCTAATATAATAAAAATAGAAAGTTCATATCAGATTTATTTCCATATGTTTGTATATATGCTAGGGTGCCATATCTGGAAAGACAAAATCCCTGACAAAATTTTAATATGCCACGTTGAGCAATTATGCAACCAATACCCTTATATTATGGTATAAATTCGCCATAAATCCAAAGACACAAGCTGCCGTCGCTTTCTCGTGAAAATAGAATGAATACAGAATGAAACAAAAGGAGCATAATTGTTGCGTTTCACTAAATCAAATGCGGGTTGTTTCTGTGAACAATAACATATATGAAAATAGCACAGAGTAACGGTGTAATGTACAGGTAACGGTGTAATGTACAGCTATCGGTACTCGGTAGTGCAACAAATTAAAAATACAGACCACAAATATCTGACAATTCGAATTGTGTACAGATATGTGACATCACAATTACCTGAATGTAACGCAGGCCGTGTTGCACAACAAAGCCTTCATGCGACATATCTCTGAAAATATCGACTTGTGGATGCGCAATATCTAAAAACTCGAGGATTTGTGGCAGGGATAATACTGTATTCAAAAATTCCTGACATTTAAGCACTTTTCAACATTTCTCCCCGACGCAAATTTCACCACTAAAACCGCGGTCATTTCCGGGAAAAAGTGTCGTATGGCAACCCTAATATATATATATATATGCATGATAATAAGGAACCGCCTATTGATTTATGTTACAACAATTCGTGTGACCCTAAATCTTACCTTGATATCGTCAATCAAATTTTGATCTTCTGTCACATTTGGATGTATCGCGACCACCACTCCACGATAACCATTGTCGACAAGTACTGTTTGAGAAGAAAAGCAATTGACAATCTGGAATAAGCATACTATTACAGTTAGATGATAAGAAATCATCGTTGAAACAAAATTCGCACACGTTCGCTGATTGCAACAAATACTCTAACTAAAGCGATTTGTATAATTATATCTAATTGTTTGTAATTGGAATGTAGTTTCTTTTGACGTCTACCCAGCCTTTGTGTAATAACAATGACATAAATAGTGTCCGCCTTCATCAAATAGGGGGATTTTTAATTTGTTTCGTTTCTTTGTCTCATCGTGTATTATGATTGCAGTCTCGCAAACGAGTTTCTTTGTGTTTTAGCAAGTCCTGGCTGAAAAGCAATTTGAGAGCTGAAAGTCAGAAGTTTTGTTTGATGCTATTTAAGGAGGTCGTGACTCCTCTGGAGGTATTTGTACATAAACATCGGTAGCCGACGATTCTGTTGTGAAATTCTATTGATTGTCTTTACAATGTTAAACGAAACGAGATTTTTATGAAATATAACCTCTAAATGTTTCAATTATCAGTTCATTTTTTTACACGTGATTTTTGTTTAATAAAATCGCGGAGCTTTAATGTGGCGCAAGTCGTGAAACAAAATCACGCCATTATGGTTAATGAAATGTTGGCATTAGGGTTATATAATTATATACATATAACAAAGTACTTTCAATATTCTTCTAAAGACTGCTTTTGGTAGGTCACGAATATTTTGATCCCCTTTATAATTTATTGGACACGAAAGGTGTGTAGGCTATGTTGTTGTTCCTTCTGAACAAACGGACCAATCGCCTTCACATTTTTAATCCTTACGAATGGTCGGAGCCGCAAGAACAATATTATTTTTATTTTCTATTATCCTCCGAGTCGCATAGGACCTTAAAGTTCAACTATTTCGGCGGTTATTGCGCCACCGCGTAGCATTGCGTTAACCATTCCCCCTATTTTCGAAAAAGCCGGTGCTCACTGCTCTGCGGCCTTACTCGTACTGTTAACGGCGTGGTAGTGAAACTTGATTTCAATTTCTATTCGAACATTCTGGATGACTACACAACGGATTTTAATGTGAATCGCATAAGCTAGCAGTATTGCGATTGAACATATATATGCGGCGTCCATATAAATATATATACAGTATGAATTCTGGAATTTAATGTGGTAGCTTAAATGGAAGATTGCCAAAATTATCGTTTACTAGACATTTGTTAATTAGTTTGAAGGTAAAAAAATCATTCCTAAACATCAGCCATTACTAACTCATGTTAGCCTAAAGAGAAATGTACTGCAGAAAAATTAGACGGGAAGAAGTAACAGAAGAATAGACGGAAAGAAGAATAAACATACTGTTACATCGGGAATCGCATTCACTTGATTTTTGTATTGACTTAAACATTGCGTCCGTTTAACTTGTGTAGTAATTTATTTGTTATTGTTGATGCCGTAATTTCCCTTGATTAGGGACATTCATAACCTTTGACCATGCGACTTCCGCATTCGCCGATGCAAAAAGGGGTGACGCCTTTCTGACGTTAGTCAGAAACGTTTTCAAAACCCATCTTCTAAAACTTATTGATAAGTATTAACATTTTTGGAATGCAAGATCGTAAAAATCCCAAACATATTTATATAAAGTTCATGCAACCTATAAATTAAATTTCTTTTTGCCCTATCCAGTGTGTTAGTTTTTTTCAGTAATGTGTATGTACCACTTAGTTGTACTCAATTTTTGTTTCACGTTCAGACACATTCTCATCACATCAATTCCCTGATCCACTTTGTATATATAGCCAGCTTATTTATTTTATTCTGAATATTATCGTCCAAACCCCATTGAATTTATTAATCAGTCAAGTATAAATTTCCATCACATTATTCTGGCCTTTTAGATTGTTTTATTCAACGAATGCAACACCGGACACCCCCGACACTTTTTTGTCCTATTTTTTGTTTGTTTACTACATTGCTTTTACCTAAGGATTCCCTCAATTTGTTCACAAATTTATTGTAAAAATATTATCGTAATAGTTCAAGTTTTGTCACTGGTCATTTTTCAGTGTTAATCTTAATCACATCAGCGTATATGGTGGGAGCTGACTTCGATGACCGTATGTATGGTCGTACCGCTCCCTCCTGTCCATACCAAAACAGTTTATTTGTTGTGGCTATTTTATTGATGACTGTATTTTTTGGTTGACAAAATAATAAAATCTCTCTTTTTCGTTGTACTGCCATTGGTAAGGACGTTGTAAACTTCTGGATGTTTAATCTCATGCCACGGTAATGATACACTCCCCCGTAAATTGAAAGTAGAGCAAATAAAGACTGAACTGCAAAAGTTAACGAATCAGACGAGCCAGTTTACATCCAGATATTAGCGTTCAAAATTTCAAACCTGAAACCAAATATTATTTTTGTTTGTTAAAATTGCAAATCGTTTTGGCTGGGGGTGACAGAGGTACCGACGATTCGGGCTTCGGCCCACTGACGTTACAGACCAGACGTTTCGGTCCAGGCAGGCTCGGTCGTGGTGATTGCATGTTTTGTTAACTGAAAGATTCAGATGTTTTATTATTATTATTTCGTTTAAAGTATTTTGTCATTACATTTGATGAAAATGGAAGTGAATTTGAAAAATCCAACGACAACGAAAGAACACGTTTCGCCACAGCAACTCGTTCTGTGAGATAGATGCCAACAAATAGAGACATGAAACAAATAAAAAAGTATAACATACTTAAATCTGACTTTGGCGCATTAATAAGGGACGTGTTTTTAAATGGGTGATTTAACATAAACAAGGGATAAACATCTTAAAAATAAAAAAGGTGTCGTTTTGTTTGCGTTGGAAATTTAAAGTTCCCCTACTACAATCACTGCGATTGAGCCTCTCACATTGTTGATAATCTCCGCACACGAGTCTGCGTAGGTCGGAATGTCTGTATAATACGTTCTATGGGAAACATAAGCAGTTATTTTGGTTATTTTGTCGCCAGTGTTACTAGTGTTATATATATCTTGTTGTTGAACTTGTGAGTGAAAAAAAAATTATATTGTCATAAACAGACGAATTTAAGATTATGGCATGATGGCATCGTCCTTAGCACAAATGTATTAGCTATATGCTGTATTTTTTCAACTCTCACATTAAAGATATCGAGTCTTTATATTAGGTTTCAACGTTTTGTCACGATGATCCATCAGATCCCATGAATGTACACAACAAAGAAGCACCCAATAATCATAACAGACAATGCAATTACCGAAGTACATGGGACGTTATAATGAATTCAGTTGATTTTCAAAACGGTGCAGTGAATCCTCCAAATCCTACAATACAAAATACAGACCCTTCGTTTAAAGTAGTCAGGCCTGGACCCAAGCGAATCGTTCTAATTATGGATATTTCTGGTAGTATGTACGGAGTAAGTATAATTTCACGGTTGCCATATTTCTAATGCATATGAAGAAAATAATAGTAACAAATGCTGTTATATATGTGCATGGCAAAGTATTCATCCACAGTTTAACCATTTTATTTATTCTAGAAACAACTCGAACGTTTCAAACAAACATGACTTGAACTATAATTTTATAATTTGCATGGGCATTGCATATCTAGTATAGAATGAAACCTGATGTTTACACAAAAACCCAGTTGGATATATCCATTCCTATTGCTAACCCGTGTACATTTCTTTGAAATGTGTTATCTAGAAAAGATTGGATGATCTCAGAAGTGCATCCGAACTACTAATATCAAGTTTACTCGGTGATGGTATGATGCTTGGTCTTGTCGCCTTTTCTGAATCAGCTGTTGTTCTTCAACCTTTAACTAAAATTGGATATGATGACGGAAGCAGAGAAAAGATGATCAAGTATCTCCCTTCATCTGTGAATGGAAGCACCGGTATTGGTGCTGGAATTCTGGAAGGAATTAAGGTGCGATAACATAGAAAAATTGCCTCAGTTTCGATGAGTGAGTGGCTTTTTTTTTGTACACAGGTCTTGAGTAAAAATGGTCAACTTCCGGAAGGAGGAAAGCTGATTGTTCTTACAGATGGAGAAGAAAACGCGAAACCTTTCGTTGAAGACATTACTGCAGATGCAATCAAGAGTGTGAGAACGATGAAAATATAGAAAATTTACTCATTAAAAATTTGAATTCCCAATGAATCTTTTAAATTATTATTAAATAGGTAAAACTGTCTGGCCATCGAGCAATTTTTGATAGAGCATTCAAATGACGTAATATTTCTCGATTTGCACATTGTGAAAAATATCAAATCTGTGTACCATCAAAATTCCTGACAAATGCTCAATTTAAAACACCGCGATGTTCTGCTTTTGACTAGTAACTTCGCAATTAGAACAAACACAGTGAAATTATATTAGACAATTCAGATATTCAGATTGGATACCACGTGACTGTCAATTAACGTCTTATCGTTTTTTAGGGCAGACCGTGCAGTAAATATGTGCCTAGAAAATTGTTTTTTTTTTAATCTGTTCTGAAGTTTAGGTTAAGTTGACCGAAATTTTTGTACCTAACAACAGGTTGTGGTTGTCGATTCTATTTTCTTTGGACTCGTCGATGTTTCTAAGGATGCCTCGTTGGCTAGTTTGAGTTTGCAAACTGGGGGGAAATGGTATTATGCAAGCACGTCTGATCAGTCTGTATCACAGCTCAGTGGAATATTTGCATCACTTAGCAAATCGGATGATGGAAACTTCTCAGCCAACGCAGTACAGGTAACCAATCAGGTCCATACATATAAAACTAGTAACAACTGTTCAACTATACCAAAAATAGACGGTCAATCGTAAAAGGTGGCGTGGTTAGACGTTTTATTGGTTTTCCTCTCACATGGGAGAAATACGAAATGACAGTCCGCACACACGCACGCATCGACATAAATACATTCTGAATCGCCCTATATATTACTTAGTATAAATTTCATTTCTTTGTAATAAAAATGATCACTTTAATTTGCCTTTCAGGTATTAAATAAAATCATCAAACTGAAGCCAGGAACACCCGATACGGTGACTGCGGCAATTGATGGTTCTGTCGGCAATATAACTGTTTTTGCCTTTAAATGGACTGACGACGAACCTACCATAGAATAAAACCACCAAAGTCAACTTGTATATATTCAAACTACAATAACCCCAACAAGAAGTACTGCGATGATAGCCCAATACACAAAACCGACGAAAATTTCAAGTCGATTAAATTTTATACTCCTGGAACGGCAAAAGTAAGTATTCTGTTCTTTTCACTAATATAACGCTTTGATATTAAATCTTGTGAAACGAGAGAACCGAGTCTCCACGAGTGACCTACCATTACGATATCATAAATGAATGTATAAACAGCGCCCTTAACTTTTCAAATTTTGTTGATTGGCTTTTATGAGCAAATGTTTGATTTCCTTTTTTTTAATTTGGGTTTATTAAACAGTGGTGAAGTGTTTATGATTTCTGCATTGATGTTTTATTGCTTGTAACAGCTTCGTTCATCATCTGCCAAACTAATCAAATATTTCTTGCAGTTTGGGATTTGGGAATTCAGTATTTTTTCAACGTCAGAAAACAAAATCACCACTGCTGTGACTTCCAGACCTTCCGATCTCAACGTTTATCCGATCACAGTCGAAACTAAATTAAAAGTTTCAGATGATACAACGTTACCGCCAATCGTAGTTGCTAAGGTATCATGTGTTACCTTGGGCTATATTGTTGTTCAGAAAAAAAACAGTGATCCCATTTTGTATATTATCAGGTTTTTCAAAACTTCCTGCCTGTTCTTGGAGCTAGTGTGAATGCAACTGTTACAAGGCCTGATGATACTATTTCTGTTGTTGAATTGTTTGATAACGGTGCAGGTATGGTCAAGGATCCTAACTTGTATAATATGTTCAATGCTAGAAGTACATGTATATGTTATGGCAAATATAATATGTAATCTATGGGATTCAAGAATCTGACTACGACGAGGCGAGCTTATAGCATATATTATTGGTAAATGAATGTGATGTCACCGTATATTGCTATTTCGTAGAGTAGACCGTCTCAGAACAGCCAGTCAGTCGCTCGTTCACCCTTCAGCTTCAATGCCCACGTTAATGAAGAAACTTTAAAAAACTCTGTTTGATTTTATTCTCAGATTTCCACGATACACAGAATACAAATTTTAAAACATTTATCCAGACTAGCTTAACATTGAAAGATATCGAGTCGTATTTATACGTTGATCATAAATCCAATTAAATACTGTAAACGTGAGCTCGTGATTCACGTTATAAACAGAAACTCCTGTTATCCCAATATGGGTAATTATGAACATCGTACGGATGGGAACTTACATATAATTATTTAAATTAGTGTTTAAATATCGTGATATAATAAATTTCAATTTAATAATGGCCGGACGAAATTTTGTTATTTTCCTAAAAGTGGATTAATTTGATTCAAACGAAAGTCTTTGTTCGAATTTTGGGAAAAATTAACTTTGTTTTCATATTTTTAACATGAAATGGGGTACATTTGGGGGTTAATTGCTATATGCTTTTAGACGATGGTAAGAATTAGCATGTTCTCGATTAAATCCGTGGTAGAGCTATATTTCATAATGTGATCGATATTATCATGAGCAGGTACGTATGTTTCAAATCAGGACAACTCTGCTAACCCATCTGTCTACAAAGGAGTGAATGTTGAAGGCGTAATTAATTGAACGAACATCTTCATCGCCAGGATTTGCATACACGGGGTCAGTGGAGGCTATTTTGTTACTTAATGACGTCCCATCCTTAAAAACGTTTAAAAGTCAATCATTTTATTGCGAACTAAGTCCAAAGTCAAGAATGCTTGCGATTAAACACTGTGCTGCGTCTGTGCCAATGTTTATAGTAAACAATAACTATGCGACCGTTGCAGTTGAATCATTCCTCTGCATATTTCATGTAACTATTCATTCAGGTCTATCACTGCAGACGACATATTTCCCCCGAATAGAATAACAGATTTAACGGCAAGTCAAGTGGATTTGGATAACGTGAATGCTGGGTTACTGCGATCGTTCAGCTCGAAGTGGAACGATTATTGGCAGCAAAGTCACAAATAATCACCTACGCGCCTATACGCTATATCTATATTTGCGTGTATGTAGTTAGGGCAGAGCAGAGATGCCAATGCTAATTGCACGACACTAAGCAATTCGATATTCGTCGCTGTAGGTAAGAATAAAGATTATCAAATAACAGACGATGAAAGAAAAATCAAAAACGAAAAAACTAGGTTATAAAATGATATGAGATGCAACGTAATCATCAAAGTTTTTTAGCCTTTATGTTTATATCAAATAAAATTAAATCGGGAGGGAATACAGTGTGACAAAAGTGTAAATATACATTCGATATGTATTATCTGGGTTTTTAAAAATAAATTTTGAATTAATGCTATTCAAAATTATATTTTTTGAAAATTCAGAATGTCAAATTTATTGTGATTTTGGCACAGTTTGCTATGTCTTCATATTAGCAAATTTTAAAATTTCATAAAGTTGACCACCGAATCTCATTTGGGACGAATCCGAAGTATGAACTGTTCTCGCGAAAAAGTTATTTGTAAGTAAATTTATTAAAAATATTTCTACGTAAAATAGATAACTCATTACAATATACAAATATCTAACAATCTTCTGGAAGTGTTGTGATTTAAACAAATTCCATCAACCACGCAATAGCTAAATTCTATACGGATTCTCGTAAGTGTGGTCGTGGGCTTCTTCGTTTTGCTTGCGTAATGCTCTTCTTCTGCGACAGTAAAACACGGCAACAAGTATCAGTAGAGAGATGACTCCTGTAATAAAATAGTAAATACATCAATTAACACCTGTTTTTACGCGACAAAAGGACATGGAAATAATAAAGGCCCCCAGATATTGCTAGAATATATTTTTATGAGGTATCTAAAACCATCGATCAGAACTTTGGCAGTCATTCGTAAGTGGGGAGATTGGAAGTGCCCTTTTTTTCCTTAAGAAAAAATAGGCTAAAGCTGGCTAACTATTCTCATATGGACTGGCGACGAGAGGTCGTGGTTCGCCCTATGAATAAGCGGTTTTGTCGGCTTCTCCCTCCCTCGTGATAAATATGTAAATCCTATCCTATCCCACACAATTGTCCGACAATCGAATCTTACCAATTGCTCCAAGAATCACGCCAAGAAGTAATCCAAGACGATCATCTGAATTAAAAAATGAAATAATATTAAAAAAAATGGTAAGCATGAAAAACCGAATTTGATATCAGCAAATGTTTTTGCAAATTTAATCAATGAAATATGATCCAACTGCTGTTTTTTTTATATTACTTTTAATTGTATTTAGATACAATTTTCATAAAATTTCATTGTATATATTATGTGAAAATTTCAATCTTCAAATGTATTTGGATTCTCACCATTTGGTTCCAAAACTTCTTTTGCAGTCGTTGTACTTATAGCGGCCGACGTCGCTGTTTCTGTTGTTGGTGGTATTGACGGGGGAATAATGAAAAAAGTCACCATAGCAATATTTGAGATTTCAGAAGGATTTGCACTCTCGTCGAAAGCGCGCATTGCAAACGCAACTCTATAAAATATATTTATTATACATATAGAAATTCACTTTTCGTGATATAATCATTTAGTAGGGCGATCCCGAAGTATGTACAACAACATGGCGCATAACCTGAACCCTAACCGGGTACACATACTATGTTCAGGTTGTGCGCCGTCTTGGCGCACATACTTCTGGAGGTCCTTTAGTAGTGGCTCATATTCATAGAAATTCCTTTGCTACACAGAAGAGTAGAGCAACGTAAACACTCCTGCGGGATTCTGTCGTGAGAAATAAAATTGAGCTGTAACTTCTCACCAAAAAGAATGGTTGTGTGCAAGGAGAACAGTTTGAATCGAATGTTGTGAGAAATAAGTTAATAATGAGCTATATATATGTACAAAACTGAACGATTTTAGTTGCAGTTATATACTGCGCTTCGCAACCCTCCCGAATAATTGATTCAAATTCTAATAAGTTGAAAGAATTTTTGAAACCATTTTCTATTGTAGTATCAGCTCTCATCCATATAAACAAATACGTCAATCTCACCGAACTGAATTTTCATTTTGCGGCAAGTCTCTCAGTATTAATGAAAATTCTTCAAAGTTAGTATTTGGTTTTGGCTGACTCAGGTCGCCTTTTGTGATCATATTATCCGTAACATTTTTTTGTGACGCAAAGTCTATCCTTATGGGCTTGGAACTTCCGTAGGAATATCGAATCTCATATCTAGAAGCTGTAAAAGTGAAAAGATAATTCTTATTTGAGAGATGTATACATTTAATAATTCATTTGGCTTAGTTCAGGGGTGGGCAACCTTTTTCGGCTCGCGTGCCACCATTATTACCTTAAGTCATCAATGGTGCCACAATCGGCTAAATCTAACGACAAAATTCTTCCGTGTGCCGACCAAAATTAAAAACAACGCTTTGCTTATTTAAAAAAAATACACAATAGTAAACCTTTTAAACGTGTACAGCCAGATTCAGCATTCGGTAAAATATCAGTCCGACAAATAGATTTGATTACTTCTATTATTCTATTTCAGTGAGACTTCTATTGCATTACCGATGATAGAGATTTTACATTGATTGGGTTTATACTTATACACGAACTACTGGATTCATCTTTCATGCTACTCCTATTACGAGACCTAATAAAGCTCATAACCATGAATAGAGATGCACAAGCATATGTAGATGAAAACATGGAGAGTAATGCAGTTGCAAAGTTTTTGAGACACGAAAAATTTTCGGGAATGGCATCCCAAGCACGCAATAGTTCGTTTTCTGCACTTCTCTCTTGTATTCCCTTCCCTAATCGCTTATATTTCTTTCGAAATCAATTTATAACAGTAAGGTATCAAGTAACTCTAACCAACATGAGCTGTACAACTTCATAAATCAAGCAGAAATGAGGAAAAAGGTTGGCAGACGAACAATATTACGTAACAGTGTAGGTAACCAAATGACTGTTGCGCTCTTCTCGACAAAATTTCTCAAGAGCTCCATTCGTTACGTCATAATATATTTTTTGTAGCCTCATGTATGGTGGCCCATCGTTGTCACGCGTAAAATTGAAAAAAAAAATGAAAAAAAAATAAAAAACACTGAAAATAAAAGCAAAATAAAAAAAATAGGGGTGAAAAAACATGAAAAATAATTAAAAACAAAAATGAAAAAAAAAAAAATGAAAAAAAATAAACTAAAAATAAAAACGAAAATAAAATAAAAACGAAATAAAAAATGCAAAAAAAAAAAAATTGAAAAAAAAAAAACTGGAATAAAAAGAAAATAAAAAGGTTGACAACGATGGTCCGCCTCGTGGCCCATCGTTGTCACGCGTTTTTAATTTGAGAAAATTTGCTGCTGCTTGGGATCAACGTTGTTAGGAATAATCATACGCGCACAAATGTGTTCCCTGGGTTTCTAACTCACTACTGATTTTATTGAGCAATATCCAATAAATTAAATATGAAAATGTTTTATAAATTTTCCATGCTACAAGTTCAACCAAAAGTAATATATTTATAATAATGTTAAAAGAATATAGAATTGAATACGAAAATTCGGAAAATTTGTTTTTACGTGTAGAAGGTAATTGAATTAGAGAATGCTGCTTAACTGCTCAGTTGTCCGGACACTCGTGCGATGCGCTACCGTCTGACCAAAGGGGTTATAGTCGCTTTGCGTCTGACCGTAACGGTACCCATGCAATCACTCATGAAACGAATGGGAGATACGGATAGTCTTGTAGAATATACTGAATCAAGGGATGGATCATTGGTCTGGATCGGTATGTTATGGCTGTACGGTATGGGGCAGGCGCAGAGAGTGTTTCAGTAGTCTATATTCTACTAGACTATCCGTATCTCCCATTTGTTTCATCGATACGGTCTGGCGCAAAGCGACTATAACACCTTTGGTCAGACGGTACCGGCATCGCACGTGTGTCCGGACAACCTAGCAGTTAAGCAGCATTCTCCAATTCAATTACCTTCTACACGTAAAAACAAATTTTCCGAATTTTCGTATCCAATTCTATATTCTCTTATCATTATTATAATTATATTACTTGTAGTTGAACTTGTAGCATGGAGAATTTATTAGGGATGGGACGAGTCCGGCATTACAGAGATTCGACGAATCCGAGTAATAGGTCAGGGACTCGAATCGAATCCTTCGAGTCCGTGACGTCACAATGTAAAAGTAGAAAAACACGTTTTCGACCATACTACAGAATCGCGCGCTCACAAACATACGTCGTAGCTCATATTTTTGCCTAATGGTTCCGCAGATAGCTGTTGAATCAATATAAAAATATATTTTTCGTCTTTTTTGGCGGCCATAATACAAACGTAAACGTGGGTCAATGTGCGCCTTGGCTGTGAACTGGATTTACAGCCCACCACCTTGCGTTAATTCTGGGCGGCTATTTAGAAATTCTTACATGTCAAATAGGAAAATAAAAAGCTTTTGACTACAATGCTTTCCCATAATTTCAGTAATTTCTAGCCTTAAATTTACTATGCCGCGTGTGCAAATGGTAGAAAGATGCCACTCGTCGTCAATACAATGCTTGCAATTTAGTAGTTCATGTAAACGTTCTGAAACGCTCCATGCTTTCCATTGCTCCCTTTTTAGAGAAAGGATTGCACGTAATAAACTCGATTTAAAAGAGGTATTGGTGAGATTTCCCATTGGGTTGAACGAGCGCATGTTTCATATTTATTTACGCAAATTGAAAACTCAAAAATATTGCGCTGACACATATTTTATTGTGTATCACATGTATACCAAAAACGATAGATAGTTTGAAGGCGACTGGCGAATAGTTTTTACCTTGCGGTATATTATCTGGATATCTGTCGTCGTTTTTATTAGGAGTGTTATAATACACACGGGTGATATTGTTACATATCGTCACGCTAATAACCGAATTGCGTAAGTCATTTTTAGCAGTTTTGAGAAAAACGTAAAAAACTTCCTATTGAAATTGCTATGCCATTGAGAGTCAATAATTTGCCATGGTTGAATTTTTTGATCGTAGCCGGATTTAAGGTAATTTGTATTACGCAGTCATGTGACGTCATAATGACGCACTGTGACTTAGGCAGAAATATGTCTATGACTAGGGGACATACGCAATTTTGCAACTTGACTATATGTACCAGTCCTGAAAACCAAACAATCCAAAATCGAATGTAATTCTTAGTATATACGAAGTCTAATCCCTAAAATAGCTAATCTGTTTCAATTACATTATTTTTTATGTTTAAAATATATATTTCATCAATATATACAACACGCTCTGCACATCCACCGAAATAAGACTAAAGTTAAATATGAAGAATAAAACAGCGATGTACCCTTATATTAAAGCCAACCAAGGTGAATTGGACTCAGACAGTAAATATCACAAGTGCACGCCTTCCTATACTGTAGTATAAATTGAAATTTATAAGCGCTAAGCTAGAATCTGAGATGCAAAAACTCGAAAATCCTTGGCCGAGGTTATTTTGCCTTTGTGACGTCACAATAGTCCTGCGTTAACAGTGATAATTCATTATGACGAAACAATTGAACAAATTTGCATATTATACAAAATCTCTATTTTTATGGGTTTCGGAATTCTTAAAATAAAATCTGAGTTAACAGACAGGTGCGCAGCATTACATAAATACCTGTTTTATAAAAAACTCAAAACCGCCAGAAATGACTTACGCAATTCGGTTATTAGCGTGACGATATCTAACCTTGAATTTCAACTAGTTAAGGTATGTAGTGAGATTTGTAGGGGAAAAAGTACAAACATAGGCGTAAATTAGTAAAAACAGAATTGATTATAGACTCGGTAAAAACGACGTGGACTCGAAATCGAATCCGAGTCCAAAAAATGCCTGGATTCGACCCGAATCCGAGTCCGGATCCGAATCCCGGCCCATCCCTAGAATTTATAAAAGATTTTCATACTGAATATTGCTCAAGGAAATTCGAAGTGAGTTAGAACCCCATGGAACACCGTTTGTGCGCGTAGGACTTTTCCTGACAACGTTGGTCCCAATCAGCAGCAAATTTTCTCAAAATAAAAACGCGTGTCAACGATGGGCCACGAGGCGGACCATCGTTGTCAACCTTTTTATTTTCTTTTTATTCAATTTTTTTTTTTTTTTTTGCTTTTTTTTTATTTCGTATTTATTTTATTTTCGTTTTTATTTTTAATTTTTTTTTTACATTTTTATTTTTTTTTATTTTTGTTTTATTTTTTTATGTTTTTTCACCACTATTTTTTTTATTTTACTTTTATTTTCGGTTTTTTATTTTATTTTTAATTTTTTCAATTTTACGCGTGACAACGATGGGCCACCATACTCATGCCATGGCTAACAGCTAACTAACAGATTGGTAACAAATGATAATGAATTAACGAACACCTTAGTTTCATCAGATAATTCAGTCTTGAAACTTTTCATCTGAACGAGAATGATCTCGTTTCCGAGGCCTTGCTCGTGTGCCGAATAAATGGGCTCGTGTGCCAATTTTGGCACGCGTGCTAGGGGTTGTCCACGGCCCCCTGACCTAGTTCAACAATTACCGTGCGATGGTAAATAATGTAATAACTTGTAAATGTAACTTATACTGCTGCAGTCTAGCGATGATGGCTGAAGCGTTTTTAATCAGACATCAATTATTGCTGTGCTGTAGATGTAGTATGTTAAATCTTTCAACTTTATTCATTTAACTATTGGGTCGCTTACTGTTAGCATCAGCAAATCGCTACGTATTTGTTTTCTTGTTTAATAAAATTTACTTGTGTTATATTTTATTATAGATTCATTCTAAATGTGCTTTAGATTTAAGATGAATAAAGCCTCATATCAAGGTACTACATTTCTCATTCATTGCAAATAATATGTTTTTCCCCAAAAGCCTACTATATATATCGCCCTTAATATTAATCTGGTACTTTTCGTATCAAAGTTATTTTAAAGGGCTTTGTAAAACAGACCTTATGATTCACCGACAGCTACATTTTTTCGTAAGTAGCCTACATGACATTTGACTCCGCAATGAGATTGTATTACATGTTTGTATTCGGGACAAAGACAATATTACCTGTTCCGCTATCATAGTCGTCTCCAGGTGATGTGAAACTGAGGTGAACACCGATTGAAGCGTCGCTTAGATCAGCTTGTTTAGCTTCAAGATCGATGACTTTATTGGGTGGAATAGTATCACTTGTTGACACACTTCTGTAATACCAAGAAGAGAATAAAAAAAACATGAAATGATATTCAACTGTAGTATGAGACACACTGCATGACTTTTTTTCAAGAATTTAGAATGCAATATTATGATTATCCGTGAATTCTTGAAACTGCCGAATCTTTGAGCATGAGGATCAAAAAGTCCCAAGCTTGAAAAAAAAGTGGAAATTGACTGGGAAGCGCCCATTCTCACTTTATCGTGGTTGAACCTAAAAGCCGCATTCATCTAGACCAGTGATCACCAACGCGTTGCCCGCGGGCACCAAGTCGCCCGCGAAGACCATATGAGCCGCCCACAGGTCTGTTCCAAACTAAGCCTATTAACGGCTCTTATAAGTAAGCTACATCAATTATATTTTGTCCTGCTATTTTAGTATAAATCACACTTATATGGGAACTAGAAATGACACTATATTACTTATTGTAACCATCAACCTTATTTTTATTTGACCTCAGTAATGTGACGGGTCAATTGACACTCTCCCAATTATGACATCCCACTGAGATCACTTTCCACGAACCCGCGCTTTTTCTTGTCCGTTGGTTAGCGGAGCAGTAATAATACAATTATTGATTCCAAAGAAAAATCCATCATTTGCACGATGAATGGGAGGTGGATAAATTTATACCACCATGAAAACAGCCTGCGTGTGTCTCATTAGTGGGGCGATTTTAGCGACGGCAAAGCGGAGAGATATTTCACATCTTGTCACGTAATCTTCTGCGCTAACTACCCACTGGTCAGCACAGAACGGACAGAAAAAGCTCGCGATTCAAATCATACAGCAATCCTATTTTACGAGACCATCGTTTGTTTCAACCTATCCTTTCGAATCAACTTTTTTGACAAAAACTCAGGATAGGAGGAGATTTACATATTTATCCCGAGGGAGAAGATAGCCGATAGGACTGCTTAACCCAATGACAAACCACGGCTTCTCGCCGGTTACCATTCGATGTCGGGTATGGGATTAGTTAGTTATTTGTTTCCGGAAGCCTGGACTTGATGGCGAAGGAAGTCTTAACCGACCAGCGGTTACGTGAACCACCCTACGGCGCGAGGAGTCCAGCAATCCTTTCGCACATAACTATCCCCGCATGGGATTCTAACCTGCGAACCTAACGCTTAACACGATGGGCCATAGCGCCGCGACTCACTCCACCAAGAACAAACATGGAACACGCCTCACTGATGAAAATCTGAAGACTCGCTCAGAGTTACAGTGTCAAGTTACGCGTCGGAGTATAATACTCTGCAACATTTGATAGTACAACTGACCTTTACCGACCTTTGACCCCGGAAAATTCTTCCTATTCTTTACCATTTTGAAATTTTCGGTGCTTATTAGTCCATTTTATCTTAGACTTGTGCAGCGTGTTGAAATTCAATTTGAAAACATTCAGTTTTGAAATACATGTGTTATTGATAGAAATTTATTTGCAACGTTATGATAATCGTTTGATTTCCTGAAGAATCCTAAAGTTTATTAATGTCTCTACTTCACTAAATACCAGTAATTATATCAATAATTGAAGCTTAATCGGGCAACTAATTTTTTTAAAAGTGTACATTGAACTGGTAGCCCGCAGCTTAATCTGTACCCAAAAAGTAGCCTTCGGCTTCGAAAATGTTGGTGACCCCTGATCTATACCCTCCCTGTCTTGTAATGCAGTTTTTCCGAGCCGTGACCACCTTTTTTAATTGAAATATATACATGCATATGTTCAACTTACCCAGTGTATGCTAGTCCAGGACTAGAGGCAACTCTCTGTAAAGGTCCTTCAATGCTTGCTGCTTGGGTATCCCCCTGCTCAAATGTACCTATGATGTTAACGTTAGTATTCGTGAGCAACATACATGCATTAAGCTTTACTGAATATAATAGTATAAAACAGAGAAATTTAGCTACCGTGATTCTCCCAGAAACAGAAATGTAATGCTCAAAATTCAAATATATGGACTCGAAAATCGCGCAAAACATTGGTCCATCATATGTGGAAAGAGGCGATTTTTATACAACTACGAAAAAGAGTTCAGCAATAGAAGGGTATTAGGTCCACTGTGTCCAATAACAAAGTATGCAAATATCACATACAATATATCAAAAGACATCTAAATTCATATGTATATTACGGTCATGGTTCGGTAAACAGGTCACATATGCGAGGATCACGTTCAGCGATGGCGTTTATGGTGTTTAAAGAGTCTGGATGAGAATATGCGTTTTGTTTGTAGAATAAATCTGTAGGGAATTGTTAGGATTGGAAATATATCCAGCGTAACATTATGATAAAGTCAATATTCACAAGTAAAATGTACGATTTTTAAGAGTATTTAAAAACATTACAGTTGACTGCGGAGTTTAGGGCAGTGTGTATGATAATAGAATACGTTGGTGCAGTGTAAAGGAGTAATAAAAAAACTTTTTAACTCTGGCTTTCATGTTGGGCGCTTATAAAAAAATGTTCCCATGAGCGGTTTAATGACATTCACAACATTGAATATTTATTTATTTAGTCGCCAAAACTACTTGTTTTTACCATTTCTTGTGGCTGAACGGGAACCTTGAGCGCCGTCTTCTTCGTGCGATGCGTCATCTTTAAACACTAATACCTGAAAAATATATGAGGTATTAAAAATTCAGTTTCAAAATAAACAAAACATATAAATTATAAGCAGTATAATATAGATAAAAAAATGAACACTATACGCTTTGGAAATAATCACATAATGGGAAGCCGATTTTTTCGATGGTTTTTAGTTTAGTTAGCCGAAACAAAACTATTTTTATCTCGTTTTGACGGCACTGATAATAAGTACTTCAGTAATTCATACAGTGGATTACCTCAACATAATATCTTCCTTTGGAATTGAAATTGGAATAATATTTTGAATAGACTCCGTCGTCTTTCTTAAAGTCAGCACCTGTTGTTAAGAAAATAAATGGGATTCTGAGATTCCATAATTTACATTTGTATAAAAAAGAGGAGAAACATTGAGACTGCATTAAAACAAGAAACAGGCTATGTACACAAACATTGTAATACATCCTGATCGATGCCGCATACCTTTTCCGTTGTCAAGGAGTATAACATTAGAAGTTGTACTGTCGGGTTTAACCACAGTTGCATTTACAGACGCTCCCAACACTGGCAAACCATTCCGAAATACCTAAACATAATTGCAATATATTATTATTTAGTCATTCAACTTATGCAAATATGTTTCAATTGCCACCACTACCTCAGCTATTATGACAGCTGCCTTGCTTTCTGAAACGTCGGAAGCCAAAATTTTTGCTTCGACTGTTACAGGATTACCGCCAGTTGATGCAGTGGATGTAACCGTGACAGTTGACTCGTCTGATACATTGCTTTGTATTGTATATTCCCAAGTACCAGGCTGTAAATATAACAGAATCCTGTATATAAACCGGAAATCTAAATATTCGATCATATCGAGGGATCATCAATGGTAGGTCACGCAGCCAAGGAAAATATACCGGTTAAACAGAGCGGTCCATCAAAAATACCACTGCATGAAAAACTCCATGAAACATTGAATTCTAAATGCTCACTGATAGGTTATAAATTTTGATATATATACCGTATATTCAAAACATGTTCGAAAATTAGAAACTTCTTACATACTTTAACCGTTTCTGGGATGACAAATCTCACTGACGAAAATTGTTCCTCCACCTCGTGTATTGGGGAACCGTCACAATAACTCTTGTGTGATGAAATACGGTTGGAGTAAATACACGATCGACCAGGAGGTGTTATTTCAACAGTTGGTTCTTGAATGTCCCAGGTAAACGTGAACACAGTATTTTTTCCCACCGACCCATCAATTGCCACGGTTGAACTAACAATTCTTCCAGGTTTTAGATTTTCATTACGATTCACCAACTGAACAAAAAAATGAACTAAGTTAGGAAAAAAGCAATTAACAAAAAAAAATAAGGTCGAATTTAGCGAGGGAGAAATATTGGGAAATAGAAAAGAAATACCGTTAACATGAAACAGGGGAAGGAATGGAAATTAAACCTGAATAGATTCAGAAGACAAATCTCCATCTTTTGACTTTGTCAGTGCTGCAATTATATTTGTCAATTGAGAAGCAGTATTAGTAGTGCCATCGCTGTAATACCAATTTCCTCCACTTTGTTCCGATAGACTTGCTAAATCATGGTTTACATTGGTATCACTCACTCCAATAAAAACTGAGTGAATGATAACATTCTGTAAAAGTAAAATCGTTTTGATGACAAGATATGAATTAAAACGACATTGAAATGAAAAAAAAATATTCAACGTTTACTTCCATCAATGCTTCAGATGCAATATTTTCGACATACGGAAGCTGTGTCTCTTGTCCGTCCGTTAACACAACCAATATTCCACCAGCTGGCTGTCCACCATCGAACTTTAGTATCTAAAAAAAATCAATAATTTAGTATCTATAGTGTTAGATACGTGGCGTACATATAGAGGCAAGAATATATGGTATGGTATGCAGTATACACCATCTTATATAAAGTCAACCAAATATACGTACACAGCCAAAGCCATATGTATAGACAGCCATTCCAATATACAGCCAAGCAGGTGTTGTACAAACACAGTCAATCCATTCCACATACATGCACCTTATAAAGGCTATATGCTGCACCCATAGTTAAAGAATCCGCCGCTCGTGGCGGATGGATAGATATGTGAGAAGTCGCAATCTAAGAAGTCATATTGTCCCAGACAGCTGGTCGCTCCTATGACGAGTGCGTTAAAAAGGCTTACACTGTAGGTAATTACATAATACATCAAAGGCGAGTTTATTAACATGAAATCAATCAAATTAATAATTGCTTTCTGGTTACTGGGTGGGGCTGGCAAATTATTCTATATTAGAATAGCGGTTTACTATTCGAATATCTGATGAACGGGGCGTGGACATAACACTCTCGAGCAACGAATCAAAGAATCAATCATTACACAACACACTTGCGGTTTTTTGGCGACCACGCCAAAAACAAACACATCAAAGTTGAGTGTTATATTTGCGTTATAGTGGTTTTATTCATTCATTTTCAGTAGCTACGATACTGCTTTAATGTTAAAATGAGCATAATGTGCGTCAATGCCGCGGCAATATCAAGTTTTAGTGGGCCGTTTCGTAAAATTTGAAACACCAATACAAGTATTTAATGAAGTAACATAACGAAGATTTCTAAACGAATAGTCGATATATACTGATTTGTAACTCATTAGTAGCAATGCCATTACGTCAATTTTATCAGAATTATTGACGAATACGCAGTGACGACATTTCCAAAATCTTATTTAACGCGAACATAACATGAACAAAAGTACAAACATAAAAAGACAACGAGGCCGGGGACCAGTACCCAAAATATTGTGCTCAGCGTTTGTTCCCAATGATCGAACAATATCTTTATAGTTCGTCGAATAAGGTGCACAGTTTTTCGAGAAATAAAAAAAAAATACGTTTATGTCCAACAGGATGCAAGACTTGACACATACGGAATAATAAAAACCGGCATTTGGACGTACATAGATGGCAGGAATAATTACACCCAAATCACAAAAGATACTTATGTATAGTAAAATGTATGTAAAAATTTAAAAAGTCTGCTCACAAACTTTATAGGGCGGGCCGCAAAAAAACACTCCGGCGGGCCGCATGCGACCGATTTCGTCACGTGAAAGTGGCCCGCGAGACGAAAAAGGTAGGGCAGGCCAGGTTTAATGGTTAATCCGGCGCTGACTATTATGCGTAAATACCATGTAAAGCCATTTCAACGCACTCGTGATATGAGCGATCAGCTGTTGTAATGCGATATGACTTTTTAGATTGCGACGTCCAATATATATACCTATATATCCGCAACGAGCGACGGGTTCTTTACGTATCGTATTTACGTTCAGACCCACAAGTTATGTGCGCAATAGACAATGTGGACGCAACCGCATTGCCGCAGCACCCACATAGAGTGCACACATATCGTCACGCTAATAACCGAATTGCGTAAGTCCTTATTGGCGATTTTGAGTTTTTTATAAAATAAGTATTTATGTAATGCTGCGCACCTGTCTGTTTACTCAGATTTTATTTTAAGAATTCCGAAACCCATAAAAATAGAGATTTAGTATGACATGCACATTGGTGCAATTGTTTCGTCATGATGAATTATCCATTGTTACCGCAGGACTATTGTGACATCACAAAGGCAAAATAACCTCGGCGAAGTATTTTCGAGTTTTTGCATCTCGGATTCTAGCTTAGCGCGTATTAATTTGATTTTATACTACAGTATAGAGGGCATGCACTTGTGATATTCACTGTCCGAGTCCAAATCACCTTGGTTGGCTTTTATACGGGGTGCATTGCTGTTTTATTTTTTATATTTAATCTTAGTCTTATTTCGGTGGGTGTGCAGAACGTGTTATATTGATGAAATATATATTTTTAAACATAAAAAATAATGTAATTGAAACTGATTATCTATTTTGGGGATTTGACATTGTAGATACCGAGAATTACATTCGTTTTTGAAATGTTTAGTTTTCAGGACTGGTGCATATAGTAAAGTTGCAAAGTTGCGTATGTCCCCAAGTCATAGACACATTTCTGCCTAAGTCACAATGCGCCATTATGACGTCACTTAACTGCGTCATACAAATTAACTTAAATCCGGATACGATCAAAAAACTGAACCAAGGAAAATTATTGACTCTCAATGGCATAACAATATCATTAGGAAGTTTTTTACGTTTTTCTCAAAACTGCTAAAAATGACTTACGCAATTCAGTTATTAGCGTGACGATATGAAACAGATTGACTGTGTTTGTACATCCCTCAAAATAGCTGTATATGTATATTTTGTTGGCTTCATATGACATTGCACATCACTTAAATATATGTTTTTAGTATGTTGAGTTGACAATTTGTACATATGATATTTCTGTGTATGTGCATTGCATGAACGGCTGTATATGCATATTGAACAACCGGATCTATATGTATATTACCTGGATAATAAATACATATAACATTGACGCAGACACTTTTTTAACTATTGTATATGATTCTTTTTGACTGGTTGGAAAAAAAATATTAACTTGACTCAACTGTAGATTATTTGAATAAATGTATAAGTATATTGAGTTGTCTATAATTTGCAGATGTCACTGGCTATGTATGTATGTACATTTTAACGGCTGTAAATGTATAGAGCGTTGACTACACATACATGTGACACTGGCTATGTATGAGCATTGCTTCAATGGCCGTATATGCATATCACATTGGCTTTTGTATATTGCTTTGGCTGTCTGTATAGTGTGTATACGTATGTTAGGTTGGCTGTATATACATATAAGGCAGTGGTTCCCAAACTTTTCAATATTGTTACCTATAAATCGAATTACCAAAATCTCAATTACCCCCCTCATAAAAATTCAGCAGTCATATCGTTATTACTTTTAACCAAAGACTTGACTTTAAAATGATAAACCTGCACTAGCTCAGCATTTTAGCCCACAATCTGTACGGCGAAGTTAGTACGTCCTAATACAGTGGTGACTAAATGACTAGGGCTAGGCTCATTGACCAGATGCGAGCATTACATGTCCAGCTTTTGAGCAGACTAGTATGGGGATTACAAAGGAAATTGTTAAAACAGTGAACGTCTGGATTGACCCCCAAAAATTGCCAAATTACCCCTTTGGGGGTAATTACCCCCAGTTTGGGAACCACTGATATAGGGTATTGGATGTATATGCATATATATTTAGTTGACTCTATATGCATATGAGCCGTCTGTATAGGCACTTCACGTTATCAACCCACTCGGTTGCGGCAATGACAAGCAACATACTTCGATTCCCTTCCGAATTCCACTTCCAATTCCCGTGCCTCCGCTAGCTGTGCCAGGAAGAAGTGCTGTCAAATCATTTCTGCTGTCAGTATCAGAAATTTCTGTGAGTTGAGCCAAAATCAACGATATAGATTCAAATGAAACAAGTCCCACATATGAACCAGTACTCAGAACATCTTTGATAATATGATTCACAACTGATCGTAGGTGTACGAGTTTCATCTAATGCCAAAAAAACGATATGAATGAAATCATCGGATATACATAAATACAATTTGCATTAATGAAAACCATCTTCCGAAAGGTTTACTGCCAACCACAACCTTTTCTGGCAAGTAGTTTTGCATGTATTTCTCATTCCAAAAGTGATGATATCAAATTCCGAGCTTAAGCGAGTTAACGAAGCTGAATCGTCATTGTTTAATTCAGTGATTTATTAAGAGTGAAATTAAAGTATTTCAGTGTTTTACCGTTGTTATTAATATTTTTATTAGCACGTGGTAAAATAGTGGGGGGGGGGGGGGGGGGGAAGCTTTGGGTCAAGCAGAAATTCAAACTGAGCTTACGTTATCTTGCATGCTTCCAGATACGTCCATTACAAAAATTATTCTCTTAGGCACAACTCTTAAAATCTTGAATTCCGGAATAATATCGGTCAATGCTAAGTTCGGCAAATTCGAGCCGTTCCGGAAATCTACTGATTCTAATATGACATCCCAGGTACTTTGATAACTACATCGGATATTTTGAGTATTATTTGCTTCTTCGTTGTGAAGGTTTATCGGATCGGAAGAGTCGCTGTGGCAAAAAGTAGAAACCTGGAAAATTAAATGTTGACAAATAACATGTATCTGATGCAATCTTTTCGTTCCAAATAGTTGCTTCTCTCCAATAACTGATGTTTTATGTTTGAATAGAGCGAAATAGGTGAATATATATATATATGGATACGAGGCTCGCACGAATGATATATGGCTATGTAGGTCAGGTAGTGTTAAGCATGCTAAAACAAGTTGGGATTCTGGAAGATAATAAAGCAGTTAACCAAAAAGTTTTGAAAGAGGTAATAAATAGTACTAGAAAAGGTGCTCCCGAAGTATGCGAACCAAGATGGCGGACATCGGAACGTAACATGGGTAACAGGTGAGGGTTAGGCGATAATTTTTTTTTTCAATTTTCCTTATTTTAGTCCTATTATCAGTTCGAAGACTAGCCAAGAGCCTCCCGTAGTATTTATACCTAAAATTATGGCCTAACCCTAACCTAGTACACATATTACATTCCGATGTCCGCCATCTTAGTTCGCATACTTTGGGAGCCCCCTAGAAAATATGGTGAATTAACGGCGGCCAGGATTGGCACTTTAGTTTAGTCTTTAGAGAAATGCATGTGCGAGCTCAATATCGACGAACCCAGAACTAAAAAATCAATCATTTGAAGACGGAAATTAAATCAATGTAATGGTGATTGTCATTGTGTATAATAATGTTTGTTTGGAGCTCCGAATCCAGAAACGATGAAAAGTAGTTCAAAGTAAATAAGTTCATACTAGTTCGTAAATACTACATAAATTGAAATAACTGTATGTGTGACCCAATAGTCGAAAAGAAATCAACTTAATCAGCTGAATATTAAAAAGAAAACGTCGCCATGTACGTACGACTAAACAAGTGATTTTATCAAACAAATTCATCCCGAACCTTATCCAAAAATTGCTTGTACATGATGGATGTTTTCAAGCCCGTTGGCTGCAAGTCATCATCTTTGAAGAAACAAGTCGGATACGGTAAGTATGTTAGTGGATTAATAATATTGCACACACCTCGATATGTCCCACTGATTGCTCTCGGACAACTTGAATAACAAACAAAAAATTAGTTAACCTTCATGTATATTATGCTTAATTGTATATGGATATGAAGTTGAATTCGGCAAAAATATAAAAATTATTTTTTTTAGAAATAAATTTGAATGATCGCGGAAGGCCGATCCGTGCAGAAGGGGCTATTACTCGAAATGTGATTCAGACAGTCGCTATCTCATAACAAAACAAAAAAAATCACGTGGTAACAGTGGCTGCGTTTTATTAAATTTAGGAAAAAGATGACGAGCTTTGGGAAGCAAGTTAATTTTGGGCAAAATACTGAAGCGGCCTATTGAAAGAAAAAATGTTTAAAAAAACTTTGTTTTCAATTTAAATGAAACAAGAAAATTTTAGGCTAAATATCGGATATCATAGGACTCGGGAGGAAATTTGAAAAACCGTAATTTTGAAATTGATTGTTCCATTAGTAGCAAAAAAAGCAAGAATTCAGCAAAACGACCCAGATCTTTACTTCATGCAGAGAAAAATCGATAAAAATTTTGACAATTTAGAATCTTAGGCCAGTCAGTCAGTAGTTTACTTTTCACCAAAATGAAAATGCACTCAGAGTGAACACAAACTTAAAAAAGTTGAAAATGACATTTCATGGGGAAAGGTGACGCGAAAAACCAAAGTTGTTTATCGAGCAGCGACACCTGTGATAAGAGTCTAACTTTGAAAGTTTATTAGAAATAAGACTATATCAAATATTAAGTCCAAAAACCAAATTTGTTACAGAAAAGAGACTCCGGGCACCGTCAAGTACGGGAGGGGTAATCATGGGCAGCGAACAACATAGCAACGACCAATGTTAAGATCACCTTGGCACAGTGACAGCAGGCTGGGTACAGTCATACGGGAAAAGCCATTCGGAAACGGCGTTTAGGTACAAGTTTTTAAAGGTGCACGTTCTGGTGGTGTACCTAACAAGACAGTTATTAAGTAATACATTTAGAACTATGAGTAACGTCTGAATTGTTAACAGTTTCTTAATATGGAACCAGTTTCTAGTGCACTTCAATTCGGCACTGTGACATGGTTACCGGGACTGGAGTCATTAGAAAAATTATCAGAATCGGAATAGTACATTCCAATTCTAGAAAGACGAGAAACAGAGGAATAAACAGGTAAAACATCATTCTAGATTGTGGACTAAGAAGCCCTGAGAGTAACATTTAACCAAGCTAACGTTACACAATCAGATACTCGTGAAACAAATATAAATAGGCAATTCAAAATCGGAAGTGTTTGCGAATAAATAAAACACAACTCAGTGATTAAAAACATGACAAATATATTTACCGAGTTGCTTCGGCCCCTGTCAGTGTATCCAAGTAAAATGCTTGATCATCATTGACTGGATATTCGTCGAACACTCCCCATCTATAATGGCCCCATTCGTGAACAACAGTTTTTCCTTTTTAAGACAAGAATTTATTTATCTAATTCATTCATACTTTCATACATATTTCATACTATTCATGAATTATATCATTAAACAATATCTATATTTTTAATAAATACTCTGAGACAGTGGTTGTCAAACGCGCACAACAAGAGGGCGTAGACAGTTTTCTGAAGAGGCGTGAAGCTGATAAAAATTGAAATATAAAAATAAAATATATATTAAATATAGATTTGATCTTGCTCGGCCCAATAAACATACTCTCGCTTTATCTGTTATTTGTAGCTTATTGTTAGCTAGTTATTTTTGAGGTGGGCGCGAGACTTGACAAATTCTAAAATATGGGCGCGGCTTATAAAATTTGAGAACCACTACTCTCGAATGTAAGATTATTCAGATCAGTTTTACTTATCAATACCAAATTTACCTCTCGGACCGTAATTGTCTGCCACTGTGTCTAATGATACGTAATCTGGAGTAAGATGGATGTATATGCCGCCTAATCCACATCCTAGGTACGTCCGTGCATAAGGCGTATTCTTTCCGATTTCCGATTCCTCTATCCGAATATCAGCCTAAAAAAAACACTTCTTCAGTTTTGGCGTCTATATCTACCATCAAGAATTAAGATGTTCTAATAAATCGCTCATTTTATTTTACATTCCACTAAATTTGTTCTCATAGTTGAAATCGTAGCATCGTCTTTATGTTATTTACCAGCATCTTGAAACAAAATTATATATTCTATTAATATATATATCTTCGACTTTGCAGTGTGAATAGGAAAAATGATGACAACGGAAGTATACAAACCGAATCATATGATTCTTTTGATGCATTTTCGTAATTCCCAACTGTCCACGTTTTAGGAATCAGTATTGTGATTTCTTTGAAATATGCTCTCTTATGTGTGGCTTCAAACAAATCTGCAGAAGCATCTATCATCATATTCTAACATAATAAAAATAGAACGTTCATATCAGATTTATTTTTATTTGATTGCCATATGCTAGGGTACCATATCCGGAAAGACAAAATTTTAATATGCCACGCTGAGCAATTATACAAACAAAACACTTATATTATGGTATAAATTCGCGATAAATCCAAAGACACAAGCTGTCGTCGCTTTCTCGTGAGAATAGAATGAATACAGAATTGCATTTCACTAGGCTTGCACGTAATTTACGGATTTACGGAATTACGGAATTATTTCGAGTTACGGAAGCGAAGTTACGAATTACGTAAAGTCGTAATTATTGGTCGAGCGCTTTCGCGATTGAAACGAGCTCTCTTCAGAGCAGTCAATTCCGTCGATTGTAAAAAATTAAAGTTTAAGTAAAAGAAGTTAGAGTTCTGGTATTCGCAGCCGTTTTTCTCTCTCTTCTTAGGCAGATGGGGAAGGCATAACGCGTCATTTACTAACCTATTATCAACTTATCTAGGATGGCCAATGTACATATTAACCGTAAATAAGGAATAGAATTGTGTTGAGACCGATGAACGTCGGGTGAAACGACTAAAGAATGTAAGAGATCAACTTATAAAACATGGTCTATTTGTAAATGCGTGATAATTAATGCCGCGCTTATCAAACATCAATATAAAGACGGAAGAGAAATTGCGTAATGAACCAACGCAACTTAAGTCTTTTCGACATCGGTAAAGCGATTGAGACGGCAGAGAAACAACAATTCGACGGGATTTCCCGTGTTTATTCTGCGCGAGATCCATTTTCTATTACAAAATCTTGATGTTCTGTTACCGATTTTATCGTTATATATCTGTCCGGACTTGGCATTGCTCAATATGTTTTTCACAATGCCTCGCAAGTCGCAATATGTCGGCCAAATATGATTACCTGTCTTTACAAAATGCGGCAACTTATTTTGATTTATCGTCGACTCGAATACCAACGGCACTCGACCAAACTTGTGTCAATCTTGGCAAATAGGATTGTCGGCTTGAGTTAGAAAAAAAATAAATTAATATTTTCATGAGTACAAAATAAATGTCACAAAATGCATTGTTTTGCGATATAACTTTGTATTTTCGGAGAAGGCATGTCATATAAGTACGGTATTTTAAATAATGCGCAAATAATTAATATTTGATCTAAATTTATCGCAAATAATGTTATAAATTTTAGGTGGCGAAATGATTTAATTTAAAATGAAGCATAGAATTCGGAATATCGTCAATAAGTCGGCATCAATAATTATTATAAAATGCTAACTAAGTAGTAAAGTCGGATATTGGTGAAATAACAAGTCTTCGTCGCGAGGCATGCGAAAGTATAATCAAACGAGAGAATACGCTTGTAGTTGATTAATAAATTAGCAACCCGAATTTTTTTTTTAATACGAAAGTCGTATTAATACGTTAATACGATTTTAAAAAAGTGAACTATCGTTTCCTAAATTTATTACCAGTGTTGGTAATGATAAAATTGATCGCATAAAATTTGGTGATAAAGTGGATAAAAAAAAATCAAAGCTAACACAAAAGATAAAAATCAGAGTAAAATTATTTTGAATTCACTCCTTGACATTTGTCTTTAACATCTGTCGCCGGCGTGTAGTACTGCCGGGAATATGAAAACCAAACTTCGATGTCCCATCCGGAATAGAAGTGGATTAAATTGGTTGTTATGATAGGTTTAAATGTGTGAAAAAAATATCGCAATCACGGGGTCATTACGTAATCGATTTGGCCGTAATTACGGAATTGATTTTTGTCAATTACGTGCAAGCCTACATTTCACTAAATCAAATGCAGGTTGTTTCTGTGAACGATAACAATTATGAAAAAGCACAAAGTAACGGTGTAAAGCACAGGTATTGGTAGTTCAACCAAAATACAGAGTACAAATATCTGACAATTAAAATCATATGTGACATCACAATTATCTGAATCTAACGCAATCCGTGTTGCACAACAAGGCCTTCATGTGACATATCTCTGAAAATATCGATTTCTGGATGCGTAATATCTGAAAACTCAAGGATTTGTGGCAGGGATAACACTGTATTCAAAAATCGCTGACATTCAAGCACTTTTTAACATTTCTCCCTAACACAAATTTTACCACTAAAATCGCGGACATGTCCGGAAAAAAAGTGTCGTATGGCAACCCGCCAATTGATTTGCGTTACAACAATTCGTATAATGCGGTCTTTATCATAGGCGGTTGGACTACATAGTAATATTTCATTTCCACACACGCTGACCCTAAATCTTACCTTGACATCGTCAATCAAATTTTGATCTTCTGTCACATTTGGATGTATCGCAATCACTACTCCACGATAACCATTGTCGACAAGTACTGTTTGCGAAGAAAAGCAATTGACAATCCGGAATAAACATACTATTACAGTTAAATGATAAGAAATCATCGTTGAAACAAGATTTACCCACGCTTGCTGAATGCAACATATACACTAAGTGATATGTATAATTAGGCTATATCTAATTGGTTGTAATTGAAACGTAGTTACTTTTCCCGTCTATCCAACCTTTGTGTAATAACAATAACTTTTTTGACATATATAGGGTCTGCTTTCATCAAATGGGGGAATTTTTAAACTAGTTTCGTTTCTTTGTCTGATCGTGTATTATGATTGCAGTCTCGCCAACGAGTTTCTTTGTGTTTTAGCAAGTCCTGGCTGAAAAGCAATTTGAGAGCTGAAAGTCAGAAGGTTTTGTTTGATGCTATTCAATAGACTCCGTTGGATGTATTTGGACATAAACATTGGTGGCCGACTATTCAGTTGTGAAATTCTATTGAAATTGAAATTCTATTTAAAAATTCTATGAAATTCTATTCCTTACAATGAGTGGTGCAATGTTGGCATGATGGGTTATATATATACATATAACAAAGTACTTTCAATATCTTTCTAAAGACTGTTTTTGACAGGTCCCGAATGTTTTGATCTCCTTTATAATTTATTGGGCACGAAAGGTACATAGGCTATGTTGTTGTTAAAAAAACTTCCTTGTCAACAAACGGACCAATCGACTTCCCATTTTTGTTCTTTGTGAATGGTTGGAGCCACAAGAACGATATTACTTTTATTTTCTATTATTTTCCGAGTCGCATGGGACCTTTAGATTTAATTATTTCGGCGGTCATTGCGCCACCGCGTAGCATTGCCTTAACCATTTCCCCCTATTTTCGAAAAAGCGGTGCTCACTGCTCTGCGGCCTTGCTCGTACTGTTAACGGCGTGGTAGTGAAACTTTATTTCAATTTTTATTTGAACATTCTGGATGACCAGACAAGAAATTTTAGGATCAACGGATCGAATAAATAGAAAAGATACTATGAAAAAAAGAAAGAACAGAGAAAAACGGATAAAAACTACGAACGGTATGTTTGTTTACCTTTGCAGACTAGGCTAAGCGAAATGAGTGGGAGGGAGGATGGCTGTCGAAAGAGATGAGGCGACAAATGGCTGATAGCTGACAGAATGAGAATATAAGAGAACGTAATGTACTAAAATGAATACACTAAATTCGAAACACACAGTAAATTCAAAACTGAAATTTCCATTTTTTTTACTTTTGTGTTTTAATTTTTGTTTCGCTTTCAGATTACAGAAAGCATACAATTTTTTTCTTCATATGAACAAGTGGGCATTGAATATATCTTTTTAATACCGATAAAATATTTTGAATCGTAACATGAGCCTAATAAACATTTGGAAAAATGTATTTGAAAATAAGGGTATTTTTTCAGATCGTACATATGTAATATTGTTAAAAAAGGTATGAGCTTTCAAAGTCATCAATTACTGGAATGACTTTGTCTACCACTAATGCGTCGCAGTGAGACTTCGTAATGAAGAGTACACAGATATCTCAGAATTTGATGTATCGTTCCGAATATCACTGATTCCTGAAGTCGTTAACTTGGAGTAGATTGATCAGTATGCAACTTGACTGATCACCCGCACACTTTAACGAGCTTCATCAACCTTCTTTCACGACCTAAACCAAAACATTCTATAAAAGAGAAGCTCATAACGGAGCTGTCGGCTGTGATACAAACAAAAAGTTTCATCCTCGGTTGTTATCTATTATTATTTCTATGTGACGAAGTGTGATAATTGTCTTAGGTGATTCCTCGGGACGTGAAGAGGCGAGTGGTTACCATTTGGCACGTTTGTCTTGCATCATTAGAGTCGGGTTGGGATTAAGTATTGATCACGCCTGTTTCCTTTGTTGTTCATATATGTTAAATCGCTTTGAGGTGATTTGTGTCATTTCATAATACAACTGTAGACAGATATTGTGAACTTCTGATCTTACCACGGCGAAGCGTTGTAAAGGCAAAGAAGAAATAATGGCGCTAGGATGGATAATTCGTTGTAATCTAGTGATATAAATAATAAAACGAGAATGGGATTATGAGCGAAGTTGCAGGCTAATATTTGTAATTATTCGTTTAAATATTTTTTGTCAGTTCGTGACGTCATTATATTCAATTTCACTGGGCCGCGAATTACACAAGAGGGAAAGCACTGGCATCGAACAATGTTTTAAATTAGAGGTGTACAACCTGCGGCCCGCGGAAATACGCCAATTTTAAATAGAGTGCGGTCGGTGAAACGGGTTTTTAATTTAGTTTAATCTGGTACGTGCGAGTAATTTCAATCCCTTAACGCTGCAAAGCCTATGCCTTAGTCAAATTCAATATCTATACCTGTTACTTTAAAGTGCCCCAACAATTAGCTTGTGCAAAACGGGTAGCGCATAGGGATGGGCCGGGATTCGAATCCGGACTCGTCGAATCCAGGCATTTTTTGGACTCGGATTCGATTTCGAGTCCACATCATTTTTACCGAGTCCATAATCAATTCTGTTTTTACTAATTTACGGCTATGTTTGTACTTTTGCCTCTATAAATCCCACTACATACCTTAACTAGTTAAAATTCAAGGTTAGATCTGTAACAATATCCATCGTGTGCATTATAAACACTCCTAATAAAACGACGACAGATATCCAGATAATATTGAACTAATATTAAACTATTGATCGCTCATAACAATGATGTTGCGCCAGTCGCCTTCAAACTATCTATCCTTTCTGGTATACATGTGGTACACAATAAAATAAGTGTTATTGCAATATTTTTGATTCACGTAAAAATGAAACATGCTCTGGATTAACCCAATGTGGAATCTCATCAATACCTCTTTTAAATGTATAACTGAAACTGAATATGAAGAAAAAAAATATTTGAAGAAACAGAAGGATAATAATGGGGAAACTGCTCCTTTCTGAAAAAGCCAAGTAAGACATTACTAACGGCGATTGTTCACCCGAAAGGCAAGAAACCTGGTCATGCTAATATATAAGGGTGGCCCAAAAGTAGGTATATATATATATATACAGTTATTAAAAGTAGGGTTTAGGTCCAAAAGTAGGTTTGTAGTTTTCATTTAGGCACTTTTAAAGTTCAAGAATGCTAGCTATATCGTAGACAGAAACTGTTTAATCTCTTAAGTGCTCAAAATGTCCAACTCCAACATTCTTCACATCTGTCCAAAACACTCTGACACACAGTACGGCACAAATTTCTATCTTCATCAATTTCTCTGAATGCGTCATGAATGTAATCTTTTAATTCATTTATTGTTTTGGGATACTTCTCATACACCTTATTCTTTACAACACCCCCAAAAAAAGAAATCCATTGTGTTCATTCTTTGCTCTTCATTCAAATTATTCGCCATTAACCCTCAAATAAAATAAAGATTTACAAAATGTATTTACCTTCTAAGCAGCTAGAAAACTAATGTAAAATTCACATTATCTAAAAATTTATTATCTAAAAAAATAAGCAATTTTTGTGGTACTTAACAAGTAACATAAAGTGAACTGCAAGTAGCTTCAAAGCATATAAAATATTCTAATAACTGTATACCTACTTTTGGGCCACCTTGTATGTATATTCCTGTAAACTATTACCGAATGTTTGAGATTCGATATAAAATTGGCTGTACCTATGGTTGGCGTGAACATTTGACTATTTTGTTCTTCATTTAGAAAACATGCTTCAACTTGTTGTCGTGGTTGACTGTAACAACGAATGGCGAGGTTTATCGGTGATTAGCACTGTTCAACCGATTTTTCCCGCAATTTTTTATTAATAAAAACATCACATAATATAGACACAATATCACAAAATACATTTATATAAACACAATAACGAGCACATAATAGTTTTCCACTTCTTCTTATGAATTGGCAGTTTACCATTTTTAGTTGCAATAATCTTTTCACAGTTTATAGTATTTTTTATCATATACAAAAATTGGAAAAAATGAGGCCTTTCATTACGCAGTTTACATTTGTATATAAAATATCTGGCACACAATAAAACACAATTTATACCCTGGTTTTGCCCTACCCCCAATACCATTTCTCTATGTGTCAAATTAAGGTTTAATCCATACTCAACGGTTAGCCAAGCGATAACTATTTCCCAAAATTGCTGCACAAAATCAGAGATAAAATAAATGTAACACAGTTTCAACTTGCATATATATTACAAAATGTACATTTTGAACTTTGTGTTTTATTTATTCTATATGGCAGGTCATTAGTGGGCACTGCTCGCAAAGCAAATTTGACATGGAATGAACGAAGTCTGGATTCAATAGAGCAATAAAAAACTTTTTCATACAATGTCAACCAATTATCTAAGTTCCTGCGTAATTCTTTTGACCATTTTTCTATTTTTTCAGTTGGCGGCAAAATTTTAACATTACAAAGCTTATCATATATGTATCGAGAGGTTTTTTTAATGCTTTTGATATCTTCGATCAGACTAAGATGTGGATTGGCTTGCGAGATTTTTGATAATTTAGTTTTCCAGTCCTGGGGTATACATGATATAATTTTTAAATACGCTAGCATGTCATCATAAAAACTGGAAAAACAATAATGATGAAAAATAAACGGAAATATTGCAATTTGCTGTTTAGAATCACAAATATCTTCAACGAAGCAAATATTTTTATTATTTCAATTATCCATATATAAAAGTTTTCCTTGACAAGATATATTTCTATTGAACCACAGAGGTTCATGTAAATGACTTGCATTCCTAATGACCTTGAATTTGAAAATGAACCAATAGTACAGAGTATCTCCCCAACATGTGGAATAAATATTCCTGATATACACTCTATGCGGATATACATTTCCATAAAATAAAGCCATTCCTCCATTCAAATTTAAGAAAACCTGCTCTATGGACTTCCATGAGACATCAATATCGTCATTTATTAAAAATTTGACCCATCTTAATTTTCGACCAATGAAAAATGATTAAACATCGAGCATATTGACCCCCCACTTCCTTTACAGATGCAATTAATGTATTACGTTTGATCCTCTCCCATTTTGAACCCCATAAAAATTCATGGCATATCTTATTTACTTCCATTTTAAAACTATTGGGCAGTCTTACTGGTAAGATGGATACTACATAAACCAATAAGCGCAACATCAAAGATTTAATAACAGTGATTTTTCCGAGGAAATCGAGATTTCTTTTGGACCATATTTGTGCAACCACTTTCATTTTTTGAAGTTTTGGCAAAAGGTTCACAGTTAAAAGATCATCATCATTTCCACCCACATTAATGCCCAAAATTTTAAAACAGCTAGGGTTCCACTGAAGTTCTCGGTCTTGCGTAGAAAAAATTTGGCAATGATTGTTTCCTCCCAGGTATAACGCTTGACATTTGTTCATGTTTATTTTACAACCAGATATAAAAAATATCGGTTTCTGAAAATACTGCTTTGATACTTTTTTCTGAGCCATCAGAATACACTGTTGCATCATCTGCAAGAAAAGAAATTTTAATTTCTGTGTTTCCGAGACATATATATACCTTGTATTTCATGATTTTGTCTAATTCTACATGCAAATATTTCAATTATTAATAAAAACATAAATGGTGAGAGACTACAGCCTCGCTTCAGACCATTTTTAACTTGAAACATTCTTGAACTATAATTCATATTAATAACAGTACTTTGACTGGAATAATACAAAGTTTTGACCCACGCTTGACCTTTGACCACGCTTTGACCCACAACCACGCTTATTCCAAACAAAAATCAGGAACAGATGAACCATCAACATCTTATACTGCTTGAATAATGTACTTTTTTATGTTGTACGAAATGACATTAAATTGGCATTAAATTTTTCAAATCATGATTTTATAATAATTTACCTTAACGGACTGGTGATACATTCACTTGAATTGCCATAGTTATATAGTGCGTTCACGTCACATCGGAATGAATGCCTATGACACAAGTTATGGCTGCCTTCTTCTAGATACGCCACCGAATAACTAGCTTATGCGTACGAGTATTTCAGATTTGCAGCAATAATGATGCGATAAGATAGAAATTTCATATATCACATAGTCAATTTTTAGTGAGCAAAATTGAATTCGATCGAGCAATAGATATATATATATATAATTGTGAAAATTTATACGAAAACCGTGGGGAACTAATTTGTGAGACACATTGTTATTACAAATTCTTTGCAGAACGCATAATCAACAATCAAGAAATCGTTAATGTGAATAATATCAATCTTTTTTACGGAACATCGATTGGTGACAGATATTATGCGATGTCTTTATTTAATTCAAGTCGTTCATTTAATTCATCTAATTAAGAATGATCTTTTGGCTACGATTTTACCATCTTTGCGATTCTGAAATCTATGTTGCACTTTCAAAATAGAGAGTTAGTTGAGAGGAGATAAATTATAATACAGTATGTCAAAGTGGTTTTGAAACAGTAATTTTCAATATTTGGTTACTAAATCGTCTGAATGGGACTTGACTAGTTTCTGAGAAGATTGTTTAGATTTCAACATCTTCAAATCCGAAGAAAAAAAATTCCATAGTTTGGGTCCATAACCTAATAGGCAAAATTGGGTATGCTTGATAACAGATTCAAAGGTATGAACGAATCAGAATTACTTTTTCGATTGGAAATATTTGTGACGTGTATGCCGTCAAAGCAGTTTGGTAATAATATACAAATACAGTACTCTGCAATTTCGAAATGAGTGTTTTGTTTCCATGAAGCCAATTTGAACAACAGTGTCGAAGGCCTCCAAGTCAAAACGACATCAAGACGAACGACATTTTGCTCGTTCAATAAATCCTTATTCAGCCGCGTCAAAACAAGGTTTCGAGGATGAAATGGGCAAAACTCTGAAAAAATCGTCAATGTTGTCCACATATTAAATTTGAAGGAGAAATCAATATTGAAGGAGCAGAGAGTAAGGGCAAAATTTGGCTCTTACTTGTGGTGAAAGAATATTGTCAGGGTCATCCATGCTAGGGTTTGAATTCTCAGAAACAGTGGTCACCGGTGGAATCTGTGCTATATGGTCATAGCGACTAAAAATTTTAGATTCATCGGTGTCGTTGTAAACTGATAAGTCCGTAAGCGGCAGGTGGTTTGATAGTCCTTATAAAAATATTCGATTTTACAAATTGGTTCTCAAACATTTTTAGTCCCAGAGCCAAATTTCAAATCTCAAAGTTGCGAAGAGCCGCACACATACATCGCACGTTTAAATAGCAACAAAGCTTAAGCACATATTTTGAATGCCAAGTCACCGTAACAACAACACACGTAACAATAGACCTTATTCATTGAAAACCCATCCTACGCGCAAAAAAAAAGTGAAGTAAAAATTTTTTTTTCAACATTAGCTCTTATTACGGACTTTCATGCGAACTATCGGAGCGTGACGGCTGCTGCCAGACACTGTTTTTACCTCACTCTTGGGGATCGCAGCGGTTTCGCTTTTCATTCGCGAGTTTGAGCTGTTGCTTGGTTGAGGGCCAATGTTGCACCTGGAGTGTACTGGATCAGGTGGAATTCGTAATATCTTTTTCGAAGGTATAAAATACGGTACCGTACTATGCTGACTATATTAGATAGGATGTCCAGCTACCAGTACTGCAGTACCTGGTAGCACTGAAGTCCGGTACCTGCCACAGTTCTTCAAGTTGTGTCAATGCCACTGCTTACTACCGCGTTTCCCCGAAAATAAAATCTTGTCCGAATTATGAAAATTTTAGTAATATAAGCCCTTTAAAATGATAGTCCATACCTAAATTAGAGGAAATTGTAACTTGATGGCAAATTTGTGGAGCGAAATCACAGGCTGAAAGACGTCTGTTTGCTGTTGCTGACTTGACTACATAAGGTGAATTTAGTTGTAATCGGAAACCTCACAAAAATACAGTATGACAAACCTTTCAAATATTGCATTGGGCCTAAAAACTCCAATCATGAAATAACACAACATGTTGATTCTAAACAATCATATATTATAGTATATATTTCGATACAAGGTGAAATGACACAAAGTTTCAAACACTGATATGACACAAAGTTTCAAACACTGATATGACATTACTGTTTAACATATATAATGTTCGTTGCCTTTTTGATTTTATATATTAGAATCTGAATCTATATATTATTTACATTAAAAACATGAACTATGACAATAGACAATACGTTTATTTCGTCGTGCCAGAAATCACAACACAAGTTCACAACAGATAAAAAATTATGCATTACAGTAACAGATTTCATTGCAATTGACAGGAAATCGCGAAGGACCAGAAATGGTCATCATAAGTCAGCGACACCTAGATTTTAGACGAGTCAAAAGTAAAAATTGCAATTAAAGAAAGCAATGGATACAAAGAGAAACTTAGTCATTCAAAAAATTACCAACAAGACAGGGAGTGATATAAATATTCATATACGGTAGCATTTGGGAGAGAGAAAAAAAACATAAGGCGGGAAAATTCAGTGATTAATTTTTTTTATCTTCGTTCATTTCGTCATGCAGGAAATAATACACAAATTCAAGGCACAGCTTATACAATACAGAAACGGATTTAGTCGCAATTTAAAAGCAGGTGACTTTCATCGCAAGAAACAGAAGGGGTCATCATAAGTCTGCGACACCAACATTTGAAATGAGTCAAAAATTGAAATAATAAAAAAAGGTAGAGAATATTAGTCATTCGAAAAAATTGTCCAACAAGGGGAGGGAGGGTAAAGATTCCTGTGAAACATCACATATAATTTTAGAATGAGATAAAAAAAAGTCTGGGAAATACAATAATACACAGTAGTTTTGAGAAAAAAAACGGTTTAGCATATCAATTTGCTGAACTTCTGTATAATGGCAACTATTAAATATTGTCACTTGCAACATCAAATCGAGCTATATTTTTTATTTGCAGAAGAATAAATAAATATAAAATTACATAACTTTTAGTTACGAATGCGAAAGCAGAATTCATACTCCATGTACATCCAACATATGAGATTTGAAAGTGAGAAGAGAAAATGATGCCGTTTAAATCTGACTGTGAAATAGGAAAAACAGTCTCGGTGAACTTATTGCCACCAACTAACAAATGTCAGCCGGGCCATCAAAAATCCAGAGAACAGAAACATATTCAAGCCTTATAAGTCTAAAGGTGATTGTATGAGTAATAGAAAGTTTAGAATGAGGTGATTGAGGTTTAGGGAACATTTATATTTTTGCTACAATTTCTGTATTGCTGTTGTTTCTGGCTGTTTCTGTTGCTCTCTGATCTGATCTTACGAAGACATACTCCTGGTTCCGAATACATATATTGCAATTGTATATTTACAAATACAAAGGATAGTTCCAAGTCGTTATCGTCATCGTACCTTACAGGACGTCTAATTGTTACGTATTTTATGACTGAGAGATTGCTTCTAATTTTAAGATTAGTATGACTTTAAGTCTAAACACGTAACTTAACCAAAAGCAGCAAAATTACCCAATATCCTATACTATGCACCTACTTTAGCTGCGGAGCAGTGGCCAAGCTTGGGCGTGCAGTGAAAATATATACACAAAATGCAACAAAATTCATAAAAACATAAGAAAGTTGAAATTATGATTATGAGACAGAATGTGTGCGTGTTATCCAGTGTATGGAAAGAAAAAGATTTGGCGTTGATTTATTTTATAATTTAGGTGACAGATTACTACCAATGCTTAGCTTTAATACACTTCGTTTCACATTAATAAATTTTGAAGCGCTGAAAAAAATAAAAAAATACGCGTGTTGCGTTGATGAGCCTTTCCTGCTGTAATTGTGATGAGCCTCTTTGGGCGTTTAAAAATAAAAAATGAGAATGATTTCACTTGCGTTTATGCAAATGCATCCCGAAGCGCTGATTCGAAATACGATCGTATTTGTAATCATATTTTGAAAAAAATGTTAAAAGTCAACGTAAAGTATATTTAAAGAAAACGAATGCTAATATCTGCCAAAATCGAATAAATTAAATATTTTTGAGTAACCTCGTTGGGTTTAATACCAAATATAGAACGCCTTAAAGATTAGAAAGAAGGAAACGTGAAATACCTGTGAAGAAGAAGAATGTCTGTCCATTTTGTAAACGAAATTGAAATATTTATAGTACAATATAAAATGCTACAATCGCGCGGTTTCTTGAAGTTGGTTCGCGGGCGTTCCTTTATGAAGTTCTTTCGTTTCATATCTTTCTCATTTGTTTCTGTAGTCAAGAATTCTGACTAGTTTTTAATTTCACAGTTTGTATTTCTGGTATAAAACAGTTCATATAGTGTGAATGTTTTACACACATTTTTTATAACAGTCTATAGTCCATATAATGTGAATCTCATACACATTTTTAAATCTAACAGTCTTTTTCTTTTTGTCAGAGTCTTTGGTATTTCGCTTATAATTCCTTGATTTTTCATACTGTCTGAATCTTGGTTTGGTGGTTGTTTTTCATTTTCCTTGATCTTTTTATCCTCGGCTTGCTTGTGGAGTTGATGTCTTTTGGGGGTCACCTTTAGTTCCAACAGTTGCTTTTCAGACTCCATCTCAGAAAGACGCAGGTTCGTCTGTCGGGTCACCATTTTTAGGGAACATTTATATTTTTGCTACAATTTCTGTATTGCTGTTGTTTCTGGCTATTTCTGTTGCTCTCTGATCTGATCTTACGAAGACATTCTCCTGGTTCCGAATACATATATTGCAATTGTATATTTACAAATACAAAGGATAGTTCCAAGTCATGACTGATAAGCCAGACAAAATCAAAGTTTCACTGCAAGCCCGAGTTCGTTAATTACTTGTCCATCGTTATCCTTTTTTCTCTCCTAACGAATGGTCGCTTTTATGCTGGTTTCGGTATCCTTAGGGCATGACGCGTTATCGTCATCGTACCTTACAGGACGTCTGATTGTTACGTATTTTATGACTGAGAGATTGCTTCTAATTTTAAGATTAGTACGACTTTAAGTCTAAACACGTAACTTAACCAAAAGCAGCAAAATTACCCAATATCCTATAGAGGTATGTCATATCAATCAATGCAAAATCAATTCATCGCGACTGTAAAAGCTATCATTTTCATTCCCAAAATCACCACATCCAGTAGGGCATTTATGCAGAGTCCCAAAAACTTGGGGGATCATTCCTTTTCCTAATTTTCAATTGTAATCTTCTTATTAAAACATGATTGGAACCTAATCAAGGGTGAAATTTCCTTTCTTGATAGCTGCTTTCTCCCTCCATATAGTTACATTCTTTTGCAGTTCATTACAATATACAATACAATTTTATTTCGATTACTCTTACTTTGCAAAGTACTTCATTTTATAGATAGCTCTTAGGTATGTAATCCTTTTCCTCTGGAAAGTTTAGCTCCCAAATATCAGGCAAATCCTGCTCGGTGTATTCCAGTGCAATGACTGAATGAGAAAATCCAGTCTGCCAGTACCATCACTTTTGAAGTAGCTCCGTCTGATTTGTGTGACTGTGTAACAGAGCAGCTCAAATGCATAACAGCTATATATACAAGCTAGTCTGTATTCAATCTATAAATGAGAAAAAGACTGTTGAAAAAACGCTAACACACAACGATATATTTAAACAAGTCAAAGCAACGCAGAAGTATAAACCTGACGAAACGCGCTACGCAACGAGTGTCCCCCTAAACAGCACAAAAAATGTAGCTGGCAGCATCGGTCAAAGGTCATGAAAGTTGGTAATGGGGAAATGTGATCACCAGAGCAGAAATTTGCATTTTATGTAATTTTCTAGATATCTTTCATTGTATACGTGAGCAGTTTTGAAGATAGAATATTTTTTACATCTTTTTTGATATTTTTATCATGATAAACATGGTCAAGTTTTTTAATAATCGTTCATTGAAATTTTAATGAGCGCGGTGTTTCCGATGACGTCATTCTCACTAGACCATGAGATTCTGCCAACGCGCCGTGCTCTGTGGGATATGCGCTCCAACTGCTTGTGATAACAGGATACTGAAATACCAGTACCGGGACCACAACTGGCGTTTAACAAAAGACCTATTTTGGTTTTGATTGGATGTTATATAGAGGACTTGCACGGGTCACGTGACCTTGTTACTGGACGGCAATGAAACAAAAACGTCCATTTGGCTCCTGTCAGTTGCAAGTCGGATTATACGTTTGCGTTTTGTTTGGCTGTTGAAAATGGTTATTTCGTATTGTTCCGCTGGCTGTACGTATAGTATAGACAACGAAATGGATCTTCAGCTATATTCCACTGTTTTCAAAAGATCCGGAACGTCGCGCAACAATGTCACGTGACCCGTGCAAGTCCTCTATATTTCATGAATTCCATGTAACTATGTACATTTCTGGTACACCTTTCAAAATCCAATGGCCTAACTCAGTTCATATGTTGACACCATGTACCTGTCCCAAAATTGGTGATGTTCAGGGCTGGATTAGGACCATGAGAGGCCCCTTCATATTTTTGAGCTCAGAAATCTTCTCTAAACAACACCACATTTAATTGCTTAAAATTTAAAAATATGAAAGCATTAAACTTTCAATTCTCCCCATTCATGGGTGTGAATTTTTAATTAAAAGAATAAAAATTTACTTGAGGCAATTTTGCTTTCAATTTCTTTGATCAAACAACCGCTACAGCCATACTTTAACCGTAAATATATACTACTACGCTTTAACATAGAAACTTCCAGCAGAATGCGCATAATAATAATTTCCTTTATTTCGATGCAAACGACGCAATAATGGCTGTTTACAATGTGGTTGAAACCAGTTGTGTACAGAATTTTCTACTCTGAAAAGCTTGCCCATACTTTTTGTAGGGTTTAAACTTGTCAAGTTTTCAAAAGAATTACAAACGTCGAAACCGAATTTCGAGGCTCTAGGTTTCAGCCTGCCTAGCCTATTGGTAAATCCAGCCCTGGTGATGGCCCCTACCCTACAGCAAATTTCTGGCCCTAATCACTCAGCAGATTGAAATAAATAGTTTTCAGCATTTATTAACAAATATATATATTTTAATTAAATATATAGTTCAACTTAAAGCCTGTATAATGATATTATAAATATATGTCCCATTATTACTGCATTGTGAGAAGGCTTTCCACACTATCAAGTCTATAAGGTTTTAGCGTCTTCCAATGTCTCAGATGGAAACTTCAGTCTTCATTTCGCATATTCTTTTCATTAATGCCATTAGCATTTGAAGCTTAACTGATTCCAATGTATCTTTTCCATTGTTGTTTAATGTAATATCCTAAACGTGACTTCGAATTTTTTTCTCACTTCAATCATCACATGTTTGAATACCCGAGCTGACTTCTACTGATTTGTTATTAATTTACAATTTTTTTTCATAAATTAACTGTCGTACTTGCTAAGTATCCACTGAGTGGAAATCTACAGAAAAAAGCAGTGTTTAATAATGGACTACATTTTTAACAGAATCCAAAAATATTCCGTAACTTATTCAACCCTTCCTTCATGGAATTTTTGTTAAATTGTTCAAACATCCTAATTAACTGTTAATCTTGATAGCGAACATGGGGGCAGGGGGGGAGCTGACTGTGATGGTCGTATCTTTCCCCAGTCTATACCGAATAACTGTGTGTTTGTATATAATTTTTATTGATTCAATGCTTGTATTCTATTTGACAAAATAAATCTCCACCTCGTATTCAGTCATGTTTTTTTAACCTTGTTAGGAGACCGGTATTGTACCATTATAGGTTGGAGATATTCATCTTTTTTGTATAACGGTGCCGTACAACTTATCCTGCCTATTGGCAGGATGGCCAACATTTTTGTTCGTAGGCATATTTCAGTTTTTAGACTAAATAATTTAGTTTTCACCTCTTGCAGCCTTGGTACGGTACCGGTAGTTTAAATAACACGTCAGCATGCCTTCAGTAAATGATTGCTAGCTGTACAGGTATAAATGCGTAAAACCAGTAAACAAACGTGATAGAAATGGTATGGGTTATAGATTGTCAATGTTAAACGCTTCCAGTACCGGACCCAAAGCGACATTAGCGCCGCATTTGCAGCGCGTATCCCACAGAGCACGGCGCGTTGGCAGAATCTCATGGTCTAGTAAGAATGACGTCATCGGAAACACCACGCTCATTAAAATTTTAATGAACGATTATCAAAAATCTTGACCATGTTTATCATGACGAAAATGTCAAAAAAGATGTAAAAAATATTCTATCCTCAAAACTGCTCACGTATACAATGAAAGATATCTAGAAAATTACAAAAAATGCAAATTTCTGCTCTGGTGATCACATTCCCCATAAGAACTAATGTTAAATTTTTTTTTTACATCACTTTTCAATTTGCGCGTAAGATGGGTTTTTAATAAATAAGGTCTATTAGGGATGGGCAAAATATTCGAATAACGAATCTAATAATAAAATATTCGAATGAAATTTTACTATTCGATTATCCGGTACCACGTGACCTGCGCCGCTTTGCTTCGACACCAAACTCGCGCCTCTACAACTCAATCGTAAATTGTGCGAGATTTTTCCACGACGCTAGCTACTAGAAAAAAGCGACAAATTTGTAAAGTCGTTGTCCTTGCGTTATGGTGTTATATGCTTTTCTTTGTACTTAACGTATCGTTTCAATTCTATATTTTGCAAAAAACGTACCGACCGTTCCGTAAATTTAAAAAATTCAAACCAGATTAGGTATCAGTGGCGGCGCGTGGTCATTTTGACAACCGGGGCAAGCTACTGCGGGACCAAGTCACCCCCATCTACGGG